TCAGCCCGGCCCCTCCCCCCCTCCAGGCCGCGGCAAGCGAGGGCCGGGCCTGCGGGAAGCCCCTCGGAGGAGACTGCGCCCAGTCGGGCGCGTCGCCCCCCCTCGGGGCGGACTGCGCCCAGTCGGGCGCGTCGCCCCCCGCCCAGTCGTCCATCACAGGGCCAGCGGCCTTCTCCTGGGCGCCCCCCCACGCGCTTCTCGGATCGCGAGCTCGTGCGCACAAGAGAGAGAGAGAGAGAGCGAGGGGCAACGATAGAGTCAAACCCAGGACAGGAGAGCATCCTTCAAGAACATGAGGCCCTCCGCTGGCCAAGCTGAAGGGCATTCAAGGGTACCCCCCAGGACGCACAAGAACGTCCAACAAGCACGAAGATCATTAGGGTACCCTCCCCGAACCGACCTCGATCTTATCTATGCCTGGGTCCGACTGCATGTCCATGCAGCCCTCTCCTCTTCGGGCAGGGACGCCCGAGGGGGCCCAGGAGCAGGTGCCGAGGCGAGCCCTGAGCGATCCCACAGCCCTCCTGGATCCACATTCGAGGCCTCCCAAATCGGAAGATCGCGCCAAATCGCCGACGCATCGCCGACGCATCGGCGATCGGCGATGCACCGGCCACGTCGGCCATGGCAACATCGGCGTGGAGACAATCGGGCTCCGCATCGAGCCGCATCGGCGATGCATCGGCGATGCGGCGCCATCCTCCGGACCCATCTACTCCGACCACATCTGAGCAACGATCAAAAACTGGCCGCACGCGAGATGGCACAGCGACCTTGCGCGGTGGCCTACGCGAGCCGCCAGCGCGGCACGCTACGCTGGAAACAAAGGCGTTTACGCGCGACCTCACGCGAGCAGCTTACGCGCCCACGTCGGCGAGACAACCCCGCTTTCTTCCGTCGCTCATCTGGGAGGTGCACGGTTTCCCCCAGGGCCGCAGGCGACCCGAGGAGGAGGAGGAGGAGGAGGAGGAGGAGGAGGAGGAGGAGCAGAAGGAGGAGGAGGAGGAGGAGAAGAAGGTGGAAGAAGGGAGGTGGAGGAGGAGATGGAGGAGGAGGAGGAGCTGTGGGAGCTGTGCATGAGCGACAACGAACGTCGCATCCCCGAAGGGAGCACTTAGGCGAAAAAGTGCGACGGAACGGGACAAGGGCAAGACGAGGAGGAGGAGGAGGAGGAGGAGGAGGAGGAGGTGGAGGAGGAGGAGAAGACGGAAGAGGAGGAGGAGGAGGAGGAGGAGGAGGAGGAGGAGGAGGAGGAGGAGGATAGGGAACGAGAAGCCGACAAAAACATAATAGGCGCACAATTTCCGATTGGGCGCCCGCCTCTGCGCGCGGGCTGGCGCGCGAACCTATTTGATCGGGGCGTGCAGACAGATGTGCCCGCGTCACCCCACTCGAACACACGCCCGCTTCCAAGGCGTCAACGACTTCGAGGCGGCAATCTCCAGGGACCGCCAGGCGTCGGAAAACAGACCCGGCGGGCGAGCGGAAAAGCCGAAAGTCCTCGCCGGCGGATTTCCCAGAACAGTTCTCACTTTGCTTGATAAAGCATAGTCACTCCATGTCATAAACATGTCGAACAAAAAACGCCCCCAGACGATTTGTTTGTCGAATGTCTGAGCATTCCTCCTGTAGGAGGGGCACGCCCGACTCAAAGTCCCGAATCGTTGTTTGTCGGTCCTGGGGCCGAGGCCGCCGACGGAGCACGGCCGCGCGGGAGGGGCGGAAGGACTTCCACGGGCACGCGCCCCCCCCCCGGGGGGGCACGCGGAGCGCGCCTGACCCAAAATGGCCACGCCGGCGGTAAGTTTCAGGTCGGGCACGTCCCCCTACAGGCGGACTTGGGCCCCCCCCCTCCCCCAAAAAAGTCAACAAATACCCAACAATGGCCAACAACAATGATCGAAAAATCGCCCCCAGACAATTTTCTAAAACTGTGCTTGAATCCTCCTCCTGTCGAGGGACACGCCCGACGGAAGTCAAGTTCCCCCCCCACCCCTCTCTCGGCCCGACTCTGTCAGCTCCGCAAGCCCGTGCCCGACCCAACCCAAAGCCGGGGCAGGCGAAGAAGACTGTCTCGGCGGCGAGCGAGGGGGGGAAGTGAGAAGGAGAAGGCCTTCTCGGAAGGCTCGGAAGTTCCCCGGCCTTCTGAGCAGTTTTCTAAGCCTTCTGCCGCGCCCCGAAGACAGAACAAGCTTCTCAGAAGGCGCGGGGGCTTCTGAGAAGTCCCGCCGCCTTCTGAGAAGGCCTGCTCCATCTCATGTCCCCCCCTCTCGGCGACTCCAGAGGGTGTGGTTTGCCGAGGGTGTGGTTTGCAACCCGCACCCTGGGTAACACCCTGGGGAGCATCCTGGGGAGCGCGCGGGGACCTCGATATAGCTAGGTCGGGCATGTCCCCCTGCAGGCCGATTTTCGAGGCAAAGTAGGAAATATTCAAGAAATGCCCCACGTGGTCAAAAAATGCTCAAACACTCGTCCCCAGACCATTTTGTTGTAACTATTTTTCTGAATATTCCTCCTGTAGGAGGGACACGCCCGCCTTCACGATGGAGCTCTCCCGCGCCCCAGGGCGGCCCGACGAGGACCGCGTCGTGCTCCCCGAGGCCCCGAGGGTGCCGCTCGCAAGCCGCACCCCGGCAAGACCGTACCCTCTGTGGTCGCGGACCCTCGCGCTCGCCGCCGGCTGTCGGCAGCCGTGCCTCGGCCGAAGGGCCGGAGACCGTGAGGAAATCCGTCCGCCCAGGGCTGAACCGCAACGTTTTCGCTTTGTCTTCGTTTCGTCTTCGTTTTCGTTTCGTTCCCGCCCGTCCGTCGTTTTCGTTATGTTTTCGTTGTCCTTCGATGTTGTCTCGAATCCGCGTTCACCGCAAAGCGAAGCCGAAACGAAAACGGCCCACGACATCACCAAAAGCACCGTTTAGGTCCAGCCCCCGTGTCAGAATCCGTCCCTCGGCCGAGGCGCCCGGCATTTCGATAGGCCTACCACGACATGCTCTTAGAATCCAAACTTGTTCGAAACATTATCCCGGCAAAGCAACCTAACAGCGATGTGTAGAAGCATATATGGAAGCATTATCCTTAAGATTCAGATCAGAATCCAGTTATAGAATTCTGCTGTTCTCACAGTCGCAGTCGCATTCGCGACGACAGTCGCAGTGGCAACGGCATTCGCAATCACAGCCTCAGCCTCAGCCTGCCTGAGTATCAGCCTGCCTCACTCTCAGCCTCGGCCTGCCTCAGCCTGCCTCAGCCTCAACTTCAGCCTGCTTCAGCCTCAGCCTCAGTCTGCCTTCAGCCTCAGCCTCAGCCTCAGCCTCAGCCTGCCTCAGCCTCAGCTCCAGCCTCAGCCCCAGCCTCAGCCTCAGGCCGCCTCAGCATCAGCCTGCCTCAGCCTCAGCCTGCCTCAGCCTCAGCCTCAGCCTGCCTTCAGCCTCAACCTCAGCCTCAGCCTCAGCCTGCCTCAGCCTCTGCCTGCATCAGCCTCAGCCTCAGCCTCAGCCTCAGCCTGCCTCAGCGTCTGCCTCAGCCCCAGTCTGCCTTCAGCCTCGGCCTCAGCCTCAGCCTGCCTCAGCCTGCCTCAGCCTCAGCCTCTGCCTCTGCCACAGCCTGCCTCAGCCTCAGCCTCAGCCTGCCTCAGCCTCAGCGTCAGCCTCAACCTCAGTGCCTCAGCCTCCGGGCATTCAAAATGTGGCCCGGGAATGGAGTTCTGGGAAGTCGAAGAGCACGAAATGGCCTACAGTTGGCTCCGGGCATTCAAAATGTGGCCCGGGAATGGAGTTCTGGGAACTCGAAGACCACGAAGTGGCCTACAGTTGGCTCCGGGCATCCAAAATGTGGCCCGGGAATGGAGTTCTGGGAACTCGAAGACCACGAAGTGGCCTACAGTTGGCTCCGGGCATCCAAAATGTACGCCGGGAATGGAGTTCTGGGAACTCGAAGACCACGAAATGGCCTACAGTTGGCTCCGGGCATCCAAAATGTACGCCGGGAATGGAGTTCTAGCAGCGCCAAGAGCGATTTTGCGAGGATGTCCCAGGCGATTTGGGCTTCGGCGGCAGCCGCCCCGGGTCCCGCCCCGACCCCCCTGTGGAGTCATCTGCTGCTCTCTTTTGACACCACTAGAAACCTATCAGTCTTCGCTGTTCGGTAACAAAAAGCAATGTTCTTAGAACATAAGCCCGATGTGCTAAAGCAAGACAGACCCAACCAGAAATGTTCAGAGAACGTTTCGTGAAAACCACAGAAGGTTCTTAGAACATTGTTTGGTAGGCTCAGGTCGGGCATGTCCTCCCACAGGGGGATACTGGGCGAAAGCTGCAAAATACACCGAACATGCCCCAACAGATGCAAAAATGCACGAGACATCGCCCCATGCCATTTTCGTATCTGCTTCCGACGAACATTCCTCCTGTAGAAGGACAAGCCCGACTGAGTGGGCCGGGTCGGGCTCCCGAGCGCGCGGGGGGCGCTTCCTCGCCGGCCAGCTCCTCGGCCTGCACGCCGAGGACCTGCGGGGAGGGCGCCGGCCCCGCCGCGGAGCTCGCGAGCTCCGCCGGGGGCGCGGGCCGTCGGCCCTCGAAGCGGGGGGTGGGGCCAGCTGGGGACGTGCGTCGGGGCCGACCCCCCCCCCGCCCCCCCCTCGAACCCAAAAATCATGGCGGAAGGCTTTTGTTGCGCTATCTTCGGCCTCTGCGGGCCCTGGCTGGACCTCGGGACCGTCCCAAACACGGCTCGGGACGAGAAGCAGGTCCTGGGGGATGGGTCGAGGCCTCTGGGGGTCGACGCTGCGAAAAAGTCGTGGCGTCTGGGGTCTGGGGATCGGGCTACACCGGCGGCTACGCTGGAAACCACCGCCTCCGCAAGCTTGCAGGAGAAACGGAGAGGCGAAGTTCCAACTTTACTGGGCAGCGTTTCGTGAACGCGCCCATGCAACCTTCTGCACCGCGCGCAGCTCAAGCAGCTACGTGCGCCCAACCATTCAAGGCACGCCACAGCAGCAACGGTGACCTGTGGAACCTGCGGGACCTGCGAAACCTGTGGGACCCGTCGAGACCTGATGGAACTGTGGGGCCTGTGGGACCGGTGGGACCAATGGGACCCGCGGTACCTGCAGGGCGTGCGGGGACCGTTGGACCCGTGGGGCCTGCGAGACCTGCAGGACCCGTGGGTCCTGCGCGACCTCGACCTGCGGGGCCTGCAGAACCTGCGAGACCTGTGGGACATGTGGGACCCGTGGGGCATGAGGAAACTGTGGGACCTGTCGGCCTTGTGAGACCTGTGGGTTCTGCGGGGCCTGCGGGGCCTCGGGACCTGTAGGACCTGCGGGACCTGCGAGGTTTGCGGGGCCTGTGGGGCTTGTGGGCGCTGCGGCGCTGCGAGATGTGTGGGCATGTGGGACCTGTGGGACGTGTAGAACTTGAAGAACCTGTGGGACCTGGGGGACATGTGGAACCTGCGGGATCTGTGGGACCTGCTCCCAAAATACCTCCAAGACCGCCAAGATGGTCCAAGAGAGCTCACTCCGGCCCAAGCTGCGCCCAAGAGGCCACTAAGACGGCCCACAAGGCCTCCTGCAGGCCCTCCAGAAGACCTGTGATCGTGAAGGGTGTTGGCAGTTATTTTTTGTTCGGCCCTCCGACGGCCCATGAGGCCCCAAAGATCTCCCAAGAGGCCTCCAAGATGGCCCCAGGACGACCCAAGAGGCTCGAAAGACGGCCCCCAAAAGGACCCAAAGACGACCCACGAGGCCTCCGAGACGCCCAAGATGGTCTCCAAGACAACCCCGAAACGCTCCGAGAGGGCCCAGAGAAGCTCCCACGACGGCTTCCGACGGGCAAGGAACGCCGTAAGACAGACAAAGCCCCCAAGAAGCCCCCAAAGGCTCCCAAGAGGCCCAAGGAGACCCCCAAGAGGCCTCCAAGAGGCAGGAAACTCCCAAGAAGCCCCAAGAATGACCCAAGACGCTCCCAAGAGGTCTCTGAATCCTTCTCCTCCTCCTCCTCCTCCTCCTCCTCTTCCTCCTCCTCCGCCTCCTCCTCCTCCTCCTCCTCCTCCTCCTCCTCCTCCTCCTCTCTCTTTGTCCTCCCTCTCCTCATCCTCCTCGTCCTCCCCCACGTGTTCCCCGAAGGGTTTCCACAATGGCTGGGGGAACACGTGGTCCAATAGCGCGGCCTGACTTTGTCAAGACGTTTGGCCACATGGGCAAATTCTGAAGGAGGGGGGGCGGTGATTCGCCGTAGGCGTCGTAGCTATGTAGAAATAGCAGGATACACAGAGAGAGAGAGAGAGTGATAGAAGGAAAGAAAGACATGAAGAGAAATGGGCAGAGAGATAGAGAGAGACAGTGACAGGGACAGAGAGAGGCGCCACCTCAGCAAAGAGCCCAAGATTGTGATGCCAGTATTTCTTCACCCGGAAGCCCCAGCCCGTTCCCCGGAGACGCATACTGAAATGAGACAAACACTTCGGGCGGCAGAGACAAAACGAGCCTGCATGGAAGAACGAGGGTGGCGCCCGAGCCCCAGAAAGGGAGGGGCGGAATCCGAGAGAACTCCCCCTGGACAGCCCGCCCTATCTCACACGCGCGGCGCAGGTCCAAAGCCAAGACAAGGCTCCAGCACCCTCGAACACCGTCTCACCGGCCCCCATTCCCGAGGGCGTGGCCCGGCCTTGACCGCTCTGGCCGATGCACCTCCCTGGGATACTGGCCGTTTCCTTCGGGCCCCGACGAGTGCATCCCCAACTGGGGTGCTGAGATGGTGGGGGTCTGGGTAAGGACGGGGATAGGGGTCGTTTAAACGATCCAGTCAAACCGCAGAATAAGGATGCGCGGTAGGGATGCAAGGGCCTTGGAAGGCAATGTTGGCGCTCTCCGAACGAGGTTGGCCAGCGAAAGTCACTGAGGATGGGCCAAAGGGGCAAGGATGCAAGGGTAGCCTTGGAAATTTGGTCATCCATTCTCGCCCATAGAAGTTTTTTAGATACCCCCGATAGCGAATAACTAATTATTTGTTCGGCGACCTTATTGAAAAACGAGTGTCCCACCAAAAACGGAAACACAAAATCATCCGCGACACCTGCCGCCCAGGAGGACGAGGAGGAGGGAGAGGAAGAGGAGACGGGAGAGGAGGAAGAGGAACAAGAGGGGTAGACAGAGCAAGAGGAAGATGAAGGACCAGCCGTATTCACCGGCGGAAGACGCACAGGGGGGGGGGTCCCCAAACAAGACACCTTCAGAGGTTATGTGCGCGTTGACTGCCTGAAGCACCTTGCCCGACCCGTGCTTCTGCAAGACGGGTGCCACGGCTTGCCGCGACGGAGCGACTACGCCCCGAGGGCGGAGGGCCCTGGACGACCCCGGGGTTTCCCTGGGGACCGGCCCCTCCTCCCTTAGCAGATCCCTCGAGGCCCTGGGGCCCCTGGGAAAGGCCCCGCTGGGATGGGCGCGGGGACTCCTGAGGGTATATCGGGGTGAACTATTGAGAGGTCAAAATGTCCACCCCCATAGTAACCACCCCGACACGCGAAGTCGCTTGGTAAACGCGCCCCAAAGAGGAATCGAACAGGACATGGCTGTTTAGCAAACGCTCAGAGCCTTTTAGTAAACGCCATTTTTCCTGTCCGGCTGGCGTTTCCTCCCTTGACTATTCCCTCCAGCTGCCTGTGACCTGGGCTGGAATGGAGATGTCAAGGTCCCAGTGTTATCTTTGTCGGCCCTCCTGGGATGTCAGGGCCAGTGGATGCTCTAAGGCGCCGTAGCCCACTCAGCCTGGATCGCTAACACCCACGAGAGCCACATGGGGTAAGCGTAAGCCGCTTATAAATTAGGTTTAGCCAGGTCGAACCTTAGTTCGGGCATGTCCCCTACAGGCGGATCTTGGACGAAAAATTAAAAGTTGTCCAAACAATACTCCCAACATATCCAAAAATACACAAAAATCGTCCCCTGACTATTTTTTGACTATTTTTAAAAATACTCCTCCTGTAGAGGGACACGCCCGACTTAAATCTAACCCACCTTCGCATACACTGATGACCCCATCCCCTCAGCAAGCCCCGCGCACATCCCAGTGGAGGGCCCACGGGAGGAGCGAACCACGGACCCCCATCGCACCATGAAGAACAAAAACACGAAGGGCATCGTTGTGGTTTTACTTTCGCACTCTGGGGTCCCCCCTGCCGCGCTCCAGGCCCCCCCGCAACCGCGACCCTAGGCGTTCAGAAACCTACTTGAACTTCGATCCTAGGACCTCGCTTCCCAGGAGGCGCTTCGGCGGCGCGCACAAGGGGGGGAGGGACGAGGCTTCTTAGGAGGCTGTCTCTCAGAGGGCGCGAGCCCTACATCTACAAACGAGGCCAGCGTCTTCTAAGAAGCAAGGGTGCTTCTAAGAAGCCTTCCACCCATCCCCCACTCCCCTCCTGCGCGTGACGGGCAAGCGTTCAGACGTGGTGACTCCGAATCGGCGGTCCGCAGGACAGTCGTCGACTCCGAAATGCGTGGTTCGCACAGGGTGTGGTTTGCATCAGCCCTCTTGGAGGCACACCGGGGGGCGGGCGGGAACCTCGACAGGTCCCTCCGCCGCGCCCCGAGGAGGCCGCGACGAGGACAACGCCGCGCCCTCCAGGCCCCAACGGCGCCCATCGCAGACCACGCCCTGGCGTAACCCCACCCTTCGTAGCCGCCGATCTAGATCGGCGAGCCGCAGCTCAAATCGGGGGCGCGCAACCATGGACTGGCGATCCATGGAGGTTTGGCGCGCGGTCGCCAAATCCATGGATCGGGGGAAGGGGAAGTGCCCTCCTCAGAATGCGGCCGGTGCCGCCTCGCTCGGCGGCGGAGATCCGCGATTTGTCCCATGGCAGCGGGACCCGTCGCTAATCCACGCCCCCTTGATCCATGTTTGCGATCGCCTGACATTTGGGGATGCACCGTTTCCCCCGGGGCCGTAGGCGACCAGAGAAGGGGAGGGGGAGGAGGAGGAGAAGGAGGTGGAGGAGAAGGAGGTGGAGGAGGGGGAGGGGGAGACAGAGGAGAGGAGGAGGAGGAGGAGGAGGAGGAGGAGGAGGAGGAGGAGGAGGAGGAGGAGGAGGAGGAGAGAGGAGGAGGAGGAGGAGGAGGAGAAGGAGGAGGAGGAGGAGGAGGAGAGGAGAGGAGGAGGAGGAGGAGGAGGAGGAGGAGAGGAGGAGGAGGGAGGAGGAGCGATCGCCTGATCAAAGGAGCGGCCGGGGGCGGCGGGGCCATGAGCAGGTTCAGGGGGGCCATGGAGGGCGCCATGGCGCCCTAGGGGCCCGCAGCGGGGCCGCCGGCCCTGCTGCAGCGGGGGGAGAGGCCTGGCGGCGGCCGCGGCGCGTCGGGCGGAGCGCGGCGGTGGCCTGACCCCGCGCCCCGCGGCGCGGCGCCGCCGCCCCTGCCCCTCGTCGCCCCGCCCGGCCCTCACCTCGTGCTCCACCTCCTCCTCCTCCTCCTCCTCCTCCTCCTCCTCCTCCTCCTCCTCCTCCTCCCTCCTCCTCCTCCTCCTCCTCCCCTCCCTCATTTCTCCCTCCTCCCTCCCCCCCCCTCCCTCCCCTCCCTCCTCCCTCCCCTCCTCCTGCCCCCTCCATCCTCCTCTATCCCTCCTCCCTCCTCCCTTCTCCCTCCCTCCGTCTCTCCCTCCTTCCCTCCCTCCTTCCCTCCCTCCTCCCTCTTGCCTCCTCCCCCCACCCTCCCCTCCCTCCTCTCCTCCCGTCTCTCCCTCCTCCCTTCTCCCCTCCCTCCTCCCTCTTCTCCATCCTCCTTCTCCTCCTCCTCCTCCTCCTCCTCCTCCTCATCATCATCATCATCCTCCCTCCCATCCCACCCCTCCCGCCCGTTCCTTCGTCCCCTCCTCCTCCTTATTTATCCACCCCCTCCCCTCCAACCCATTCCCCTCCCGTGATGCGTCGGCCAAACTCAGAGGGAAGGGGCTCGCAGCGTCTGCACTCCCCTCCCTCTTCTTCTTTTTCCTGCTCCTCCTCCTCCTCTCCTCCTCCTCCTCCTCCTCCTCCTCCTCCTTCTCCTACTCCCTCCTCCTCCTCCACAGCCTCCTCCCTCACCTCCACCTCCGTCTCCGCCTCCCCCCGTCCTTCGCCCGCTGCCATGCAAACCCGTGCATGTTCCATTATGTTCCACCTCCCTTATCCCCGCGTTTACCCACCTCACGGTTTCCTCCTTCTCCTCCTCCGCTGACTCCTCCCTCTCTTTCCTCCTCGTCCCTCTCAACTCACCTCATCCTCCATCTCTGTCTGCTTCCCTCCTCCCTCATTTCGTGCATTGGAGGTCGGCGGGTAGTACGGAAGTGGCATCGAGTGCTTCCCACCTTGAATTGCGCCAACGCCGTGCTTGGCTACGGTGCTGCCTTCACTCCAAGGCCGCGCCAACGGCGTGCTTGGTTACGGTGCGGCTGGGATTTTGTTTGTGACACTGAGCTCACGCAGAAAAACATGTAAGACATTACGAAACACCGTTTCCTATATCTCAAGCATGCGAATGCATCGAACGACAACGACACAGCGATTTGTGGGAAAACACGAGCCACGCGTTCCTACAGTTGGTTTGGCCACGAACCATGCCTTCCTACAATTGGTTTTCCTACTTCGCAGTTAGCTAACACACCGTTAGCTAGATCCTGCCTTAACTCGGGGTGGCTCACGTCAGATTGGACCCCCTCGTGCGCGCGCTCGCGCTCCCGGATTCCTGAGGTTGTTCCAGCAATTGCCCTGCTGGTTGCCCCGTGGCTGTTCAAAGGTTCTGCCGATGGTTGTCCCGATGGTGATCCCGGCGATAGTCCTGGCGGTCGTCATGGCGTCTGTCCCAGCGGCTGTCCCGTGATTGTCCCGCGGTTGTCCGGCAAGTGTTCCGTATGTGTCGCGCGTTCGTCCCACAGTATGTGCATTCCTGCCATGGTTTGTATCTATCTATCTATCTATCTATCTATATATCTATATATCTATCTATCTATCTATATATCAATCCATATATCTATCTATCTATCTATCTATCTATCTATCTATATATCTATCTATCTATCTATCTATCTATCTATCTATCTATATATCTATCTATCTATCTATCTATATATCTATCTATCTATCTATCTATCTATCTATCTATCTATCTATCTATCTATATATCTATCTTCATATCTATATGTATGTATGCATGAATGTATTTATACATATATGTGTGAACGTAAGTATATAAGTATATACACATGTAAATGGATACTCATATGTGTGCATAAATACAGCTGGATGATGAATGTCCGTCAGCGTGCCTCTGGGCACGGAGTGGGCGTATCCTCAGGCCCTGAGCCTCCATACGCAGTCCCCAGTCCTCGAGCCTGAGGAGTCGCTGAGTGGCCCGGACCCCAAACTCAGAAACCTCTCGTGGCTTCCCGCGTGCCCCCTTGGGCCCGGGGCTCCCCCGCAGTTTGTTGTGCGATTTGTTCGGGCCCAAGGGCCCCAAGACGGGCCAAGAGAGCCCCCAGGCGGCCTCCAAGACGGCCCAAGAGGGCCCCAAGACGCACAAAGATCGACCCAAGACGCCAAGATGGCCTCACAACAGCCCAAGAGTCCTCCAAGACGCCCCAGGAGAGACAGAAATGCAAAATCATGGATGCTCCAATCGGTTTTTGAAGGAGTTTGGCATTATCGCCTTTTCGGCTTTCCGACGCTCCCAGAAGGCCCAAGAGGACCCCAAGACCATCCCAAAACGGCCCGAGAGGCTTCCAAGAGGGCCCCACGACGGCCTAAGAGAGCCCCGAGACGGCCCAAGAGGCGCCCAAGACGGCCCAAGAGGGCCCCAAGAAGGACCCAAAAGGGGCCCAAGGAAAGGAACACGAACCGAAAATCCTAGCCTTGAGGTCCCAAGATGCCCCAAGCGGCCCCAAGAAGCCCAGAAGAGGCCCCAAGAGGCCCTGAAACAGCCCCCACGAGGCCTCCACACTGCCTCCCAGAGGCCCCCCAAACGCATCCCTCGAGATCCCAACAAACATCCAACAGGTTTCTTGCCCACAACCCAAGCACGGTGGCGGGATGGGCCGAACACCATTAGATCCGCCGCCCCCTGTTGCTTTAGCAAAGGGGTGCCTGGCGTGCCAGACCCTCTCGGTTTTGGTTTTGTTCTTTTTCCCAAAGAACTCCCCCTGGGGCTCCAGCGCGTCCCGCCAGCCACCCGTAAAGCGCGTCCGTCGATGACCAAAACGGCCGTTTCGCTCGGGACATCCTCAACAAAATCGCGAAGATGGCCCAAGATGGCCTGGAATATGCCTTCAAGACAGCCAAGATGGTCTCCAAGACGGCGAAGATGGCCCCAAGATGCATCCAAGACGGCCCAAGATGGCCCGAATATGGTCTAAGACGGCCCCAAAGGCCCGCAAGAGGCCTCCAAGACGGCCCAAGAGGCCTCCAAGAGGTCCTCCAGGAAGGCCCGACGAGGCCAAAATCATTCATTTCCGAAAGTTTTTGAAGGATTTTGGCATTTGCGCCTTTTCGGCTTTCCGACAGCCCGTGACGGCCCCAGAGGCCCCCAAGGTCGCCCCAAGATCGCCCAAGAGGCTTCCAAAATGGCCCCATGACGGCCGCACGAGGCCCCCAAGACGGCCCCAAGAGGGCGCCAAAGACGCCCAAGATAACGGCCCTGGAACACCCCAAGAGGGCTCCAAGACGGCCCAGAACGGCCGCCGAAACGGCTTCCGACGGCGTCAGACGGGTCAGGAGCTCACCAAGATGGCCGAAGGTGGCTCGCAGCTTGCCCAAGACGGCCCAAGAGGCCTCCAAGAGGGCCTCCAGGAAGGCCAGAGAAAGGCCAAAAAGAGTGATTCTCCAAAGGTTTTTGAAGGATCTTGACATTTGCTTCGTTTCGGCCTTCCGACGGCCCGATACGGCCCAAGAGCTCCCAAATATCGCCCAAGGATCGCCCAAGAGGCCTCCAAGATGGCCCCAGAACGGCCCAAGAGGCGCCCAAGACAGCCCCAAGAGGCCCCCAAGACGGCCCAAGAGGCCTCCAAGACGCTCAAGATGGCCTCCAAGACGGCCCACGAGCCCTCCAAGACGTCCTCCAAGAAGGCCCGAAAGGGTCAAAATGGCCTCCAGGCGGCCAAGAGGACCTTCACGATGCCGACGTGTTCCCCGAAGGCTTTCAAAACCGATTCTGGGGAACACATGGTCCGATAGCTTTGCAGGTCTGGCCTCAACGTTCGGCCACATAGGCGCTTCCAAAAAGGCAGGGGGCGGCGGTGATTCGTCGTAGGCGTCTTCGATACATATGGATTGGCAATGTCGCTCCCAATGATTCCGCTTCTTCGCGGACATCCAAACGTACCTATATATATATATATATACACACAGATATACATATATATATATATAAATGTGAGTGTGTGTGTATGTGTGTGTGCATGCAATTCTCTCTCTCTCTCTCTCCTCAAATAACAATCCGTAATGTGCAATGTCTGCGGGTTGTTGCCAGAGTCATCAGCCTAGGTGGTGACACTGGTTGGATGTGGGGCCCAGAGCTCGTGGGTCTGAGCGGGCCCACAGAAGCCCGCGGGTGTATGGTTAATGCGACGCGCTGTTTTGAGCTCACGCTCATGATTTCGGGAAACACAAATCACTCGATTCCTGCAAGGCTGGGATCCGCACATGCATCTACTAAGGTGTGCGGACAATCGCCCGAAGTGTTGTGAAAATGTGTTGTCGAACGCCTCACGCTCGCAAGCCTACCTGAATAAGGTCCACCATACTGTGCGCGCAGGCGGTTGCGAACTTTGTTTCACGGTCATGTTCCTGTCCCCGAAAGTTGTGGTAGTCTACGTCATGGCTCACCACGGCACAGATTCGGGTTACCCATCGTGGCTGGAGCTGGGATCTGGGCGAGGTGGTCACTGCACCGGCTGGCAACTGCGGTGACACATGGCTCCTCAGCCCTGACCTGCGGTTTTCGATCCCTCCCCGCATCCGCAGCACTCGGAGAGACCAATCATGCATTTCCCGCGGGAGGAGGAACCACCATTGATGGGACAAGCAAGGCCCCCTGAGGATGCAGGGTATCGGCGGCGCGCCCGGGTGGCCAGGATCCGACCTCCGCAGGAAACGTCCGGGGGGCCTCTCAGGAGCTCTCCGGCGTTCCGAGGAGCTTGCCGCGCCCTCAGGAAAAGGCTCCGGAGACTCCTCAGAAACCCCGAGGGGCTCCCGAGCCTTCTGAGAAGGCCCGCCCCTCCTCACTTGGACGCACCTCAACTCTCACGGCGGCCGAGCGTCCCTGGGGGCTTCCGAGCCTTCTGAGAAGGCCCGCCCCTTCTCTCGGGGGAACGAAAGGGTGGGATAGCAAAGGGTAGGGTAGAGAATCAGCTCACGTAGCTGATTTTCCCAGCGCCTCCTGGCCCGGGGAGGCGCCCATGCATCGGGGAATGGGCCCGGCGGCGGGGCCGAAACCGGCTGCATGCAGCAGATTTCGTAACCCCCCGTTTCCCTACTTTTGTTCGGCCCGATTCTCATTGCGCTGTGAGCCTCCCCGCAGGGACGGCTCCACCCCCCCCGCGCCCGTGCACCAGCAACTCGCGAAGGCCCAAGCAGACAGCGCCGCCGCCTGCCCAGGGCGGGAGCGCTGCCCCCCCCACCACCCCACGCCCTTAGCGGCGCGCAGAAGGGGGGAGGAGAAAGGGAGAAAGAGGGGGGGGGAGGAGGAGGAGGATGAGGAGGAGGAGGAGGAGGAGGAGGAGGAGGAGGAGGAGGAGGAGGAGGAGGAGGCGGCCGAGCGTCCTTTTTCTCCAGGATCGCGACCTGGGCCCCGCCGGACACGCGCCGCCCCGCGCGGGCGGGCGTGCCGCGTGGCGGCCGCGGCTCAAACAGGCAGTGACGGCGGCGCGCGGGCGCAGCTTCGTCCCTGCGCCCCAAGGGCGGGCTTGCTTTCTGAGAGCAACTTCGTCGTCGCCGTCGTCGTCGTCGTCGTCGTCGTGGTGTGTGACGTCAAGGAATCATGGCCGGGTGTTGCCAGAGGCGCCTCTGGCCCGAGGTGCCCCCAGGATTTCCGAGGAGGCCCCAAAGGGCTCAATAGCATCTCTCACCATGCCCACGGGGGCCCTGGGGCTCCAAAATGGAGCGAAACGCTTGGGCCACCTTGGTTTAGGTCGGGCGTGTCCCCCTACAGGCGGAGTTTGGACGAAAAATGAAACATACTCAAAAGGTACCCCAAACTAGCAAAACAGCAATCAAAGAAAAAGAAGTCCCCATACTATGCTTTGACTATCTTGGAATCTTCCTCCTGTGGAGGGGACCGGCCCGACTTAAACCTTGGGCTCAGGGGCACCTCTACCAGCTCCCGACCTTCTCGTGCGCGCGTGTGCCATGCCATGAAACATCGCCCTGCCGCCGCCGCGGGCGAGAGCTGGCCCGTCGCCCTCCCCCCAGGCCTCTCCCGCCGGCCTGCCCCCGGCGCGCTGCTGCGTGCCTGGCCGCGGCGCCGAGAGAGCGTGTGCGGCTCCGCGGTGTGCTCGTCGCCGCTGTGTGGCCCTCACTAGGGGGGAAACAGGCCTACCTCGCTTTTGACCACCCTCGCTTCCAAGAGATACCAAGCGATGCCAAATTGCAGCCTGTACTGGTCAGACCGCTTGACGAGGAGGCGCGTGGTATCGCTTGGTTTTGCCTGGAAGCGAAAGCGGGGTAGGTAATTCACGCTCTGACTCACCAGGATCTCGCGGCCTCGACTTGAGCGCGAGCGACACGACATCGATTGCAGCCTGCATCGACGAATCCGGCTGGCGTGCCAGGCGCTCGTGGCTCACAGCGCTGGGGCTACGGAGGAACAGCGTGCGTATCTCTTGTGGTTCCCTCTCTCTCTCTCTCGTATGGTTTTGTTTGTATCTCTCTCTCTCTCTCTTTCTTTCTCTTTGCCTCTCTCCCTCTCTCTCTCTCGCTCTCTCTCTCCTTTCGGTGGCAACTCATGGGAGCCTCCCGTATCATCTTGCTGGCTCCTGCGAATCGGCACTAACTGACGCAAATCGACGCTCGCTCTCTCTCTCTCTCTCTCTCTTGTACGTTCTCTCTCTTTCTGTCCTTTCTCTCTTTCTTTATCTCTTGATTGCGTCATTTCTTGATATATTTATGTTGTTGTTTCTCTCTCTCTCTCTCTCTCTTTCTCTCTCTCTCTCTCTCTTATTAGCAAAACTGGGAGGTCTTCGTCGGAAAGGTTAGGACGAATTGCGCCAGACTAGGCCGCGGATGCAGCGGGATCGGGCCGGATCAAGCGGGATCCAGCAGGAAGAAGCCGGACTTCGGACCAGGGCCAAGTGAGAATCCGACCTCCCAGGGCGTTGCATCCGAATCTCTCCTCTCTGTTTTGTTTCTCCCTCTCTCTCTCTCTTTCTCCCTCTCTCTCTCTCTCTCTTGTTTTTTTGTTTCTCTCTCTCTCTCTATCTCTGTGTCTTTGTTGTTGTTCTCTCTCTCTCTCTATTCTCTCTCTCTCTCTTTCTCTCTTTCTCGATCGAGCACTGGCCGGGGTGCGCGCCCCGCGCGCGCCGCCCTTCTGCCGCTGCGGTGCAGCGGCACGCGGCACGGGAGCTGCCTACGGAGCGTCGCACGCCAGCGGGCGCGCCGGTCCGGGATCGCAGGCACCGCCAAGCAAAAAGAGCAAGCCTGATCCGCTGGGAGGGGACTACCTACCAGACCACCCCAACACAACCCCAAGACCCGAATTTCGGGATGAGGGGGGTACGGGTTCCATATGTGTTTTCCCGGTGTCCCCCGACCCCCCCCAACTGGAAATGGAGGGCACATCGAGACCTTCGGGTTGGGTTGGGGTGGTTTGGTGGGTGGTGAGGAGGGGACCTAAGTTATGAGGGCTACAGCATTGGAGATAAGGGGGTCTTTTCTGCAGATGCACCCGGCCAAACCGCCCAGATCGCTTTTCCCTTGTGCGAAGGCGGGGACCTCGGTGAGGCCACGCCTTCATCGTGTTCTTAGGTTAGGGGTTCTTTGGTTCTCCATGAAACACGCCTCTCTCGCTTGCGACGAAGCCAGTACAGGGACAAATTGTGCGTCGAGGCGCGGCAGAAGCAATTCGCACGCGCGCTCAGGCGGTCTGGGCAACGGAAAGCGCACACCAGCCGGCGGCAGGAGGAGAGGAAGACAGGACAAACATGAAGCGGGACAACACGGGGACCTCTGAGACCTGTCGGTTAGGATGAGTGTATGCGTCGGCCGCCGCGGTCTCCACGGGGCCTTCCGGAACGCTCTGATAAGAGCGTTGCGCGACGCTCGGGAACGACTTATCCGTGTCCCTCTCCCTCGCTCTCTCCCGTCAGGACCCTCGTCGTGTGCCCACCCTGGCCACCATGCCATGTCCGAGTCTCTCTTCCTCTGCATGTGTCTCCTTCTGTGTCTCTCTCTCTCTCTCTCGTCGGGTCCACGAGGCAGGATCGTATAGCTACGAGCATTCTGCGCATGTCTCGTAGACTCGACGAGAAAACCAATCCTGGGGTGAACCGGCTCTGCAGTCCAGCCCCTGCACGAGGCATCTCCGACCGCAGGCACGAGCACAAGGCGCACGCGAGGCGGCGACGGGCTCGGCGACCAACAGCGGGCCCCGCCGGGGCCCCCCCGGGCGGCTACAAAACCGCCGCGCTGGCCTCACCAGCGGCCCACGCCGGCGGAGAGGGCGCAGCTCATGGACCTGCGGAGGGCCGCGGCCGGCGCTGGGCCGGCCTCCGCAGGGCCGGTGCTGCTGAGATCTGGGCGTCTCGACAGCTTCGAGCCGGGCGCCTCCGCCACTCTTCGGGCCCCATATGGGACGCCATAGGCGAGCCGGGACGCTTCGCCGCTGCTAGAGCTCTGGGTCCTCCTCGCCCTCCTCCGCGGCGGAGAGAGGAAGGGAGGCGCAGGGCAGGGGAGCTCCCAGAGTCGGACCGAACGAACACCGCATGGGCGATCGGAAACGATCGGGCCGGCGGGGATCGGCAGCCAATCGGCGGTGGACAGGCCTCCCTTTGGCGAACCACCCTTCAGTGAAAACGGCCCACGACCGAAACCGACGGATCTGGACCCGCAAAAACGACGGCCGCGACGCCCTCTCGCGAACCGAAAACGGCCAATTCGCTAATCGACGTGTCAGGGTAGGCATGCCAACCTCCGAGCCCAAGTCTTCGCGGCGCGCAGAGGGGTGGAGGGGGGCAGGGGGGAAGGCTTCTTGGGAGGCGGCTGCTTCATAGAAGGCGCTGGCCCTGCATCAGTGAACGAGGCCCGCGCCGTCCGAGACGCAGCCTCCTGCTAAGAAGCCTCCCCCACCACCACCCTCGCCATCGCTCGGACGTCCATTTCCCGTGCATTTGTCGGTTTCGCGCGTGTTTTTGTTCCTCGATGGTCCAGGATCGTCCTCAATGGTTCTCGCCGAGAAAACACGTCCGAGCGATGCCAGGCACCCCTCTGCGCGTGCCTGAAAGTCGGGCGAAGTCGACTTGGCGGAACTCGGCAGGCGAGCAAAGCCTCGATTGCTGGCGGCGCGAAGAGGGGGTACGCAGGTGGAGGGGAGAAGGCCTCTTAGAAGCAGGCTGATTCTGAGAAGACACGGGCCTCACATCTACAGACCGCGCCTTCTGAGAAGAAAGAGTGCTGCTAAGAGGCCTTCCCCCTTCCCCCTACCCTTCTGCGCGTGGCCGACATTGAGAAACCGAAGACCAGATCGAAATCCGAAGTCGAATCGACTCGGGATCAACATGAGCCCTGGCAGAGCGCCGACCCCTGGACCAAGACGTGGCGGCGCACACATTCGGAACGCCCGACATGGGCACGGGAAACACGGGTACGATCTCCAACAGCACATGTGGCCCAACACCGACAGCGGCCGCTGTTGCGCAAGCGGCTTCCTGTATCAAACGGACCACGCCCGTCACTCGGACATCTTCTGACCCGGGTCAGTCCAGACCCAGGTCAGTCAGGCCTTGCAGAATCCTGCAAGATCCTGCAAGATCCTGCACCCAAACCCGGGTCAATGCGAAGGATCCTGCAAGATCCTGCAGGATCCTGCACCTAACCCCGGGTCAGTGCGACCCTGGCCCTGCAAGATCCTGCACGATCCGGCGCTCTGGCTGACCCCCGTTTACATTGACCCCCATCTCAAGGCTCCCGAGTCGCGACGCCGACAACGAACCCGGCGCAAAATGGACAAGGACTGTTGCCGGTCTCCGTGCCCACTGCTTCCGTACCTGCCTCGACGGCGAGCGATGGGGGGGGGAAGCGAGCAGGCGAGAGCCTCCCCCGAAGACCCGGAAGTGTCCCGCGGCCCTACTGAGAAGCGTTTTTCGCGCCGTCCCGACGACACGGCGAACCTCTCGGGAGGCGCGAGGGGCTTCGGAGAAGCCCCGCCGCCCTCTGAGAAGGCCCTCTCCTCCCCGTTCCCCCCCCCTCCCTTGATGGGCCTGTTCTTCCACCGCCGCCACCAGAAGTTGGAGGGGGGAGGGGGCCCTCCTCCCCCCTCGTCTCCTTCCTCCTCCTCGCCATCCTCCCCCTCCTTCCCCCCCCAAACTCGCGGTGGCGGTGGTGCAAGGCAGGCCCACCGCCCCCCTCGCCGCCGCACCGAAGCATGGGGCCCGCGCACGGAGCCGAGCCCCGGACCAGGACGTGGCGGCGAAGAGCGCGAAGCGCAGCACGTGCACCAGCGAGCCCTGCGGGCGTCCCCGGGCGCGAGCGAGGCGCGCGCGCCCACGGCCGCTTCGGGGGAACGAAAGGGGGGGGTAGCTAAGGGCAGGGTAGAGAATCAGCCCACGTGGCTGATTCTCCCGGCGCCTCCCGGCGCCGGGAGGCGCCCATGCATCGAGGGATGGGCCCAGCGGCGGGGCCGAAACCGGCTGCATGCGGCAGATTTCGTACCCCCCCCCGTTCCCTTTCCCCCCTTTCGTTCGGCCCGAGCCGCGCTCACGGCCGCGCGCTGGCCGGCGGTCTCTGGCCGATGGCCCCCCGAAACTCGGAGCTGCTGCAATCCTTTGGAGTCCCAAAACGGTGCGGTGACAGACCGTGCGGTGACCTTGGAGCCCCAAGAGACCTCACCGCACGGTCCGTCAACGCACGGTCTTGGGACCCCCAGAGGCCCCTGTCGCCCGAGACGTCCTCGGAGAACGACCCGAGTTCCACAACCGTGCGGTGACCCCGAATCCCCACCGACTCACAACACGGTGTGATCACCACCCCGTCTGGGGGCCCCCGACAACCCCTCGGCAACTTCTCTGGACGTCCGGAGTGGGGACGGAACACACGGGTGCGATGCGCCACAGCAAAAGTGGCTCCAAGCCGCCAATGGCCGCTGTTGGGCCGGGGGCGTTGTTCCTGTGACATATGAGCAACGCCCCCGGCGACACCTGCAGCGAGCCTGGCTGAAAAGGAACCGGAAATCCTGTCGGTCTTGGTGCCCACTCTGTCCGCGCCCAGCTCGATCGCCCCGAACTTCCAGGATTGTGGTCTGCATAGGTTGCGCTCTGCAGCCTGCGCCTGGGGGGAGGCGCGGGCGAGGACCTCGCCAGAGCTCCCTGCCGCGACCCGAAGAGGGCTCATCGAGCCTCCTGCGCAACGTGGTGGCCCTGAGGCCCCGACGACGACGAGGGCAGACCACACGCTGGCGCAGGTAACCACACCTAGTGGAGACGCCCACGCCGCGGGCACTCCCGCCTGGTCTCGGGCCCCCAGGCCACCGCAGTTCGATCTGGCTCGAAAGATGCAGCAGCAAGATGCGGCTGTTCGCGGTGCTGCACTGTTTCGCGGCGTCGGATGTCAGAGTCCACGGCGACAGCGAGCCGAAAACAGACCGAACTGACAGCGAAGCGGGCACCGACGAGACTCGACAAGCTGCAAGCAGTCTTGAAAGGAACAAATCCGCGACAAGGATACACCAACCGACGGAACCGACCCGACCGAACGCAACCGGCTGCGAGGCAACCGAACCGACCGGACCGCGAACACCCTTGGAACCACGTGCTCCCCACCTTCCCGCATCGAATCGACATCGAAACCTCGACGTCGAAACCTCGAAACCTCGACCCCGAAAAAACGCGCCCCTGGTGAGCTCGACATCGCATCGGACAGATCGAATCAAACTGGGCTCTGTGAGGCACCCGCCGCATGGAGGCCAGAACGGGGACAAGGGGCTGCCGTCGTCCACAGACCTCACGGGTCGCGCTTCTCTCGCCGCGTGGCTCCCCGGGAGGTGTGGCTCCTCCCCGAAGTCAACGTTTTACCCCGAGCCGTCTTCTGACAATCCTGGAGCCTGGCAGGCGGAACATCGCCAAAAACCTTCCGTCGATGTTGCTCTGTTCGACCTCCTACTTCTCGCTGGTTCGTTCACTTTCCTGTCGAAGGCGGCTGGGGCCTTGCCTCAAGCAGTTCTCCTCTCCTGAGCGTTCAAATCCGCCGACCACGTTCCAGGCACGGCATGCCACACCCAAGAGTAACGCACACGTCGGTATAAGTCCGTCGGTACACAAAAACCTTTCGTCGTTTTCGTTGAGACGCGAGGATGTCAAGGCAGCGCTGCCGCTTCATCAGGTGCAGGGAGCGGCCATCAACAACGATGGGCCTGTTTCCCACCACCACCACCATAAGTTGGGGATGGGGAGGGGGTCCTCCTCCTCCTCCTCCTCCTCCTCCTCCTCGACCTCCTCCTCCTCCTCGTCCTCCCCCTCCTCGTCCTCCACCTCCCTCCCCCCTCCAACTTGTGGTGGTGGTGGTGGAACACAAGCCCATCAAACAGGACTGCTCGTCTGGCTGCGTCTTTCCCATACCGCCAGCTGCCGGTCTGGCCTCCCAAGCTGCTGTGGCCGCCCGCCCCTGGCACTCGCGTCCCTGATCGGCCACCGCGCCGGAGCAGGAACGTCAGGGGCTCGGGGCAGTCGGCAGGGCTGCCTCCCGTTGTCTCTGGAGGATCTTGGTAGATTCCGCGTAGGTGGCGTTACTATGTTCCAGATCAGTCGGCTCTCGATTCCGATTCGGAAGCCCCGGGCCTTCTCTGGGGGCCCCCACGGATGCCTCCGAGGCTGTCCTGGGACCGCCTTCGGTGTCCCTGGGGAGGTCTGGGGCGCCCTTGAGACCGAGCGGGCAGACGCTTCCGCCTCCGTGCCTCCTGGCACGTTGAGGTGTGGAAGAATGCCAATCGGGCTTTTTGAATTCCGATAAGGGATCAAACGGACAGCTGCATGCATCACCCCTTCCTCCCGAGGCCGCGATCCCTCGTGACAACAACGATGGGAGCCGCGCTCCCGAGGCCACGAGGCCTCGCTACAAGCTACGGATGCGCGTCTTGCCTCGAGGACGTCCCCAAGTGGCCCCAAGGCGGACGAATATGGCTCCAAGACGGCCCAGAATGCCTCCAAGAAGGCCCAAAGGGCCACGAGAAGACCTCCAACAGGGTCCGAAGAAGCCGGCATCCTTGATTCCCCTTGGGCTTTCAAATCAGTACCGCATTCTCGCCGAGTCGGACTGACGTCTGCTCAAGACGGCCCAGGAAGTCTCGGCCCACGAGGCACTCAAGAGGGTCCCACGGTGGCCGATGAAATCCCCACGATGCCTCAAGAAGCACCCAACTGCGGCCCCAAAACAGCCCGAGAGGACCTCCCATGGGACCCACCACGGCCACAGAAGGCCCTTCGACGGACCAAGACGGCCCCACGACGGCCCCCACGCACCAACCATGCGGTCCGTGTTCCCACTGCAGCGTTGGCCTCGTCAGAGGATCGGCGCCTGGCCACTGTCGTTCAGAATGGTGGTTTAGCTCCAGCGCGGGCCTCATTTCTGGAACCGAATCCTTCCTCGTCACCTCCTTCCTCCTCTTCCGCCTTCCCCGGGTCTTCCTGCTCCTCCCGCTCCTCCTACTTCTTCAGATGCTGTCCTTCCTCCTCCTCCACCTCCAACTCCTTCCTCCTCCTCCTCCTCCTCCTCCTCCTGCCCATCCCTCTGCTCATCCATCACCTCTTCCTCCATTGGAAAACAGCTCTCCTTGTGGTTGCATCGGACACGGCGGGGTCATCTGGGGGATCCGAATCTCGTGGGACACCCGTCGGCGGACCGAGAAGAAAAAACACAACGCCATGGCAAGGGATCGCTGGTCCGGAGGGAGGAGTACCGCGGAACGCCACTGCCGTCACCCGGAGGCGCGCCCACCAAAGGCGGGCCTTCATCCCGACCCCGCCGTCGTGTCCTCCTTCCTCCCCCTCCCCTCGGAGGTCAGCCTGCCTCGAGCCGTCAGCTGGTCACCGCAGCAACCAGCCAGAGCGCCGGATCGCTGCGAGCCGTCGGTGGACAGAACCGCAGGCCCGGATCGCGATGTGGGCCAGAGCGGCTCGCGAGGAGCAGGGGAGGCCGCCGTTCTCCTTCTCCTCGCTCGCTCGTTCGCTGGCAGCTGGAGTCACTGACGCGCTCACAGCCTGTGCGAGCAGATGGGGACAAAGTGGACGCGGGGAAATGGAATGCCTCCCTTTCCTTTGCATCATCCCTGCCCTCTTCGCTCCGCCCTCCCCTCTAAAATCAAACAATATGAATACTACTCTCCTTCTCCTTTCTCCCCTGGTGGCGTCCGGGAGATGGCCGGCCCCCCTCCGCGCACTGGATCTTAACACACCGGATTCCCGAGAGACGGGTTTTCGCTTGGGTTTTTACTTTGTTTCATCAAAATGCTGCTCTCGCTGAAACGCTGGCTTCATTTGCGGGCTACCACCCGTTCCGCATCGTGCACCCGTGGCAGTGCTGGCCTCACTTCCGCGCTTCCGCTCGTTCCGAATCGTGCTCCCGCTGTAGCGTTGGTGTCATTGTTTCAAGCGTCATGCCACGACATGTTTGTCGGTCCTACCAAATTTATTTTAAGAGACACCATAATCTAGAAAATGGCCCACCGAAAAAACTCTCGGAAGTGATTCCACATTCGGTGTCGATTCGTTGATTTGTTGGGCCGTAGAACCCCCTCCCTACTTTGGGGCGTCGCCACGCCACGCCATGCTATTTCAGGCTACACGTCCTCATTTCCTCGCTTCAGCGCTTGATTCTTGTGTAAAGTGCTGCTCTCGCTGAAGCGCTGGCCCCAATTTTGGGCTACCGCTCGTTCCCAATCGTGCTCCCGCTGCAGCGCTGGCCTCACTTCCGCGCTTCCGCTCGTTCCGAATCGTGCTCCCGCTGCAGCGCTGGCGTCATTATTTCCACTGCCATGCCACGACATGGTTCTCGGTCCTTCCAAATAGGCCTCCAAATCTAAAGAATTGTCTCCCGAAGAAACCATCAGAAATGATTACACATTCTGTGCCGATTCGCTGATTTTTGGGGCCGCAGAAGCCCCCCCCCACTTTGGGGCGTCGCCACGCCATGCTATGTCATGCTACGCGTTAATCTTCAACACCATGCTATGCCATGCTACAACATCCGATTGTACCAATAGAGAGGAGATCTACGCCATGGTAACGGATGGGAGAGAGGGATCGGACGTCAGATATGACGCGAGCGCACCTAGCTTGTCTCTGCCCACTCCCCCCCCCCCCCCTCTCGTCCCCAAGCTAAGGGGGCCCAACGGAACTTCGAGTTTCTGCGCTCTTTTAAGATGGAGCGGAAATGCGGTTTGTGCGATCGGTGATGAAGATGACGATGCCACAAATGATGGTTGCTCTCTCGCGGGCTTTCTGATTCGTTAGTGCAAATGTTTTCAGCAAGAATCCTGCGCGAGGATTCCTTTGGTCGGGAATCCTGATTAAGGACCCCTTAGGAAGGAGACCTTAGTAAAGGATGCCAGTATCCGCCGGCCCCCTTGTGGGGCCACCAGGCTGTAGGCCCGTGATTCGCAGTTTCCTGTGCCAGTCGTAGGTTGTAGTTTCCAGTATTACAGTTCTGCTTCTTGCTGGTTACTGTAACTAGTTGACTTATTGCTGGTTATTGTAACTAGTTGATTGACCGCGCGAGGGGGGGGAGGCCCAAAGTGGCTTTTTAGCGTCCCCTGGGCGCGTTGTCTGAATTGCTGGGGGGGCTCGAAATCGACACCCCTCACGCAGATCCGCGGGGTCAGGGTCCAAAAACACATGGCATTTGCCACATTTCTGAAATGCGGTGCCACCCCTCACGCAGATCCGCGGGGTCAGGGTCCAAAAACACATGGGATTTGCCACATTTCTGAAATTCGGTGCCACCCCTCACGCAGATCCGCGGGGTCAGGGTCCAAAAACACAGGGATTTGCCACATTTCTGAAATTCGGTGCCACCCCTCAAGCAGATCCGCGGGGTCAGGGTCCAAAAACACAAGGGATTTGCCACATTTCTGAAATTCGGTGCCACCCCTCACGCAGATCCGCGGGGTCAGGGTCCAAAAACACAAGGGATTTGCCACATTTCTGAAATTCGGTGCCACCCCTCACGCAGATCCGCGGGGTCAGGGTCCAAAAACACATGGGATTTGCCACATTTCTGAAATTCGGTGCCACCCCTCACGCAGATCCGCGGGGTCAGGGTCCAAAAACACAGGGGATTTGCCACATTTCTGAAATTCGGTGCCACCCCTCACGCAGATCCGCGGGGTCAGGGTCCAAAAACACATGGGATTTGCCACATTTCTGAAATTCGGTGCCACCCCTCACGCAGATCCGCTGGGTCAGGGTCCAAAAACACAGGGGATTTGCCACATTTCTGAAATTCGGTGCCACCCTTCACGCACATCCATCGCAAGGCGTGGTAACCCAAACTGCGAGAACTCCCTCGGCCCTTTAATCGCAAGGTGTGGTAACCAAGCCCGTAAACCATACACGTCTTACCAATCGCCAGGTGTGGTAACCCCTCTTGTGATCAGTTGGTTTTGCTGATTGCGAATCGGCTTCGCATGAAGTTTCGATACTGCTTCACGACAGCGCCAAGGCCTCATGACTTAGCTCTTCCATGGCCCATTCTCCGAGAGAGGGGGCCGGCGGCAGGGGGCGACGCCCTTACGGATAAAAAGGGGTCCTTATTCAGGATCCTTTCAGCAGCTTTCTCTCTCAAGCTACCTGATTCCTCAATAATGATGAATTTGGTACGGGGTCCCACGCCAGGATCCCTTTAGCGCGGTATCCTTACCAAAGCCACCTTGCTTCAATTATCATTCTTCAGTAATGACTCCTCCAGTGAGGAATCCTGAGTCAGGACCCCTTTCGTATTGACCCTTTCGCACGGATCCAGTCAGTAAGAAGTCCTTAGGAAGGACCCCTCCAGTAAGGGGCCCGTAGCAATTACACCCTGTTTTAAGCAACCCCTGGTAAGGGTTCCCTTTAATGAGGAATCCTTGATCAGGATGCCTGCAGTAAGGCTTGCGTCAATAATGATCCCTGCTATAGGAAATATTCAACAAAAACTCCTTCAATCTGCAAGGCCGTCTTCAATACGCAATCCGTGTCAAAGTATCCTTTAGTACGGGTTCCTGGTAATGATGCCTTTGGTAAGGGCAAGTTAGGGAAGACTTCTATAATCAGGAGTCGTCGGCAATGCTTCCTTAGTGAAGATAACGTTTAGCAACGCGCCTTTAGTAAGAATCCTTTCAGCGACTGATCCTAAATTGAGATCTCCTACTTTGGCAAGCATTCGCCAGTAATACCCTTTGAATGAGGAAGCCTGGGTAAGAACCCTTTCGATAAGGAGTCCCTCGAAAGGATTCCTTCTGTGAGGAGTCCTCAGTAAAGATGCTCGTGATAAGGATTCCCCCCGTAAGAGTCCCTGTGCTAAGGGTTCTTCAGCAAGGGGTCATTGTTAATACTGACTCCGCCTTTAGTAAGGATTCCTGTACAGCGGCAATGTGTTCAAAGTGTGTCTTTCATACGGACCCATGCACTCCGCATTCCTTAGTACGGATTTCCTTAATTGGAAGTCCGAACACCTTCAATAAGGAATTTTGGGTAAGGATGTCCTAGTAAACGATCCTGTTTCAGAAACCCTTCAGCAATGAATCGTTGGCAATGTTTCTTGTATCAATATGCCTCTAGAGAAGAACTCTTCAGAAGGTTCCTTTCGGTGAAGGACATTGAAAAACACAAAAAACAGTCAGCCAGGACTTCTTCGTCCGGATCTCATTAGGAAAAGGGGCCTGTTGTACGGATCCGCTTTAGCAGGGGATCCTTAGAACAAAATTATTGTTTATAGGATCTCGTAGAACGGATCCCTTTGATACAGGAGTCCGGAAAAAAGGGTGACTTCAGGAGCGACTCCTTGCCAAGGGTGCTTCTAGCAAGCATTCCTCACTAAGGAGGCCTGTAAGAAGGGCTTCCTCAGCAAGGCTTCTTTCAATAACTATATACAGTATCTTGAACTTCCTTACTCGGGATGCCTTTTTGCCAACAGTCCTCAGTCAGGCGTCCTTTAGTACGGATTCCTTTAATGAGGATCCCTTTCGTACGGGTGTGTTGAAGCATTCCTTCACAACATTTCATTTAACGTAAGGGGTGAGGGGTTCATCCGTTAGAATTCCCGTAGCTAGTGTGTCCACACAAACATGGCTGGACAGAATAGCAGGGTGGAGACGGAAGGCGGGTCTGGGGGAACGGTTCCAAAACAAAAAACACCCCTGTATACGGCCCCCTTGCTTCCTTTATGGGGGGGGGAAGCGGGACCAGTGGATTCAGTGGGTCCGCCGTATCTTTCCACGCTGGAACTCGTGACCCAAAGGCAAGACCCTCTCTTCCGCCACACGGCAGATCAAATTGCCACGCCCCCCCCCTCCCCTGCACAGAGGAAATCTAGTTGCAACCCCCACAAAAGGGAACCTAACCCCCCACAGAAGAAGAGCATCCCACAAAGGGAACCTGTTGGAGCAGGAACAGGAGGTGAAGAGAAAGAGCTCAGAACGTCACCACCGATCTTTATTGCACCCCAAACTCGTTGCGCCCCTGAGCCCATCGTCCCCTCACTCCCCCCCCTTGCGCACTCGCAGGCGGCGGGCGCCTGGGCGCAGCTCCTGCAGGTGTCCTGCAGCCTGCGCTCAGTCCGGATTTTTCGACTCCTGCTGCTGAGGCCGCTGCTGTTATTGCTGCTGCTGCTGCTGCTGCTGCTGTAACTCCTCCTCCTCCTCCTCCTCCTCTTCTGCTCCTCCTCCTCATACTCTTCTGCTCCTCCTCCTCCTCCTCCTCCTCCTCTTCTCCTCCTCCTCCTCCTCCTCCACCTCCTTCTCCTCCTCCTCCTGCTCCTCCTCCTCCTCCTCCTGCTCCTCCGCAGGCTGGCACGAAGGAGGCGAAGCCTGGAGGAAGAGGTCCTGGATGTGTGTTCGCCGCTCTCGGGCCCCTGCAGCCCTCCGCGGGACCCGGGGCAGTCGAACAGATAACCTGGCGACGAACCCAATAAGGGGCCCTGGGACACACAAATAAATACAAACAAATAAAAACATGTCCCACATTTTCCTATATTTTTGGGGCTTCTGTCTTCCCCCCCACTTCCCATATTTTCCAATATTTTCTTAGGGATCGTCGATTAATTGTGCCTGTGTGTGCCGAAGCAGTGTGGGGCCGCATGCCGACGCAGCCGCAGTGGCCTTCGGCGGAGCTCCCTATGGGGCCATGAAATGAATGAGGGGAATGTCGAAATGGGGTGCAGCCGCATGCCGACGCAGCCACAGTGGCTTTCGGCGGAGCTCCCTATGGGGCCACGACATGATACAGGGGACTGTCGAAATGGGGTGCGGCCGCATGCCGACGCAGCCTCAGTGGCCTTCGGCGGAGCTCCCTATGGGGCCATGAAATGAATGAGGGGACTTTCGAAATAGGGTGCGGCCGCATGCCGACGCAGCCACAGTGGCCTTCGACGGAAGTCTCTATGGGGCCATGAAATGAATGAGGGGACTGTCGAAATGGGGTGTTGCCGCATGTCGACGTAGCCACACTGGCCTTCGGCTGAGCTCCCCTATGGGGCCACGAAATGTATGAGGGGACTGTCGAAATGGGGTGCGGCCGCATGCCGACGCAGCCACAGTGGCCATCGGCGGAACTCCCTATGGGGCCATAAAATGAATGACGGGACTGTCGAAATGGGGTGCGGCCGCATGCCGACGCAGCCACACTGGCCTTCGGCGGAGCTCCCTATCGGGCCATGAAATCAATGAGGGGACTGTCGAAATGGGGTGCGGCCGCATGCCGACGCAGCCACAGTGGCCTTCGGCGGAACTCCCTATGGGGCCACGAAATGCAGGACGAGACTGTCGAAATGGGGTGCGGCCGCATGCCGACGCAGCCACAGTGGCCTTCGGCGGAGTCTCTATGGGGCCACGAAATGAAGGACGAGACGGTCGAAATGGGGTGCGGCCGCATGCCGACGCAGCCACACTGGCCTTCGGCGGAGCCCCCTATGGGGCCATGAAATGAATGACGGGACTGTCGAAATGGGGTGCGGCCGCATGCCGACGAAGCCACAGTGGCCTTCGACGGAGTCTCTATGGGGCCATGAAATTAATGAGGGGACTGTCGAAATGGTGTGCGGCCGCATGCCGACGCAGCCACAGTGGCCTTCGGCGGAGCTCCCTATCGGGCCATGAAATCAATGAGGGGACTGTCGAAATGGGGTGCGGCCGCATGCCGACGCAGCCGCAGTGGCCTTCGGAGGAGCTCCCTATGGGGCCACGAAATGAATGAGGGGACTGTCGAAATGGGGTGCGGCCGCATGCCGACGCAGCCACAGTGGCCTTCGGCGGAGCTCCCCTTATGGAGCCATGAAACGTGTGAGGCGTCATCCGATCATGGGGCGGGGCTGCATGCGAACGCAACAAACGTAGAGGTCAAAAATCCCCCCCCCCCATAGTAACCATTTCGACTGAAACCGCGAAGTCGTTCCGTGAAAGCGCCCAAATAATGAATCGAACAGGGCAGGGCTGTTTGGTAAACGCCCATGGCCGTCTAGTAAACGCCGATGGTCTGGTCCGGGTGTTTTTTCTCCCTTGAAAATGGGCTCTTCGGTGGAGCTCCCTACGGCGGGGCCACGAATCGTGTGAGGGCCCCCCCCCCTCTCCTCCTCCTTCTCCTCCCTCCCTGTCCCCTGCTTGTTCCCTCTCCCCGCCACAGGGCAGTCTTCGCGCTGGTAAACAAAAAGTGAGGAGCGTGCTGACATGCAACGAGGGAAAGGGATGATGATGATGAGGAATGGGAGGGAGGAGGAGACGAGGGAAGAGGAGAGGAGGGGGCGCGCGGCGCTGTAGACTCTCAACACGAGGACCCAACATACGGGAGGGTTTCTGAGGAAAGAAACAAATACCGACACCGCTACTCCCCGATAATTCGATTGCTCATCCTACTCCTTTTTCTTCCTCCCCCTCTTTTTAGGATGGCGGAGACGAGGGCTCAAAGAGAAGGGTCCTGGAAGGCTTCCCGGGTTTTCAAGCCCCCGGGGCTTGCCGCGGGACCCGGCGCTGTCAACAAGACGACCCAGGCTGGAGACGACCAGTCCTGGGGAAAACCCTTGGGTCTGAGGCCAGAGGTCGCCAAGCGCGCTTCGTCGCGGCGTGGCCTTGTTCACGACGCGGAGAATTCACAGCAGTGGGGCCAGAACAGTGGATCAAAAAAACGGCATATCATAACACGATTGCTCGGAGCATCGCGCGGATTTCTCGGATCGGCGCTGGACCTCCCTCCCAGAGGCGCGTGGAGCGCACTGGGGAGGGGGCCAGGGGCGCCGCCAGGGGGTCCCGGAGCCGATCCAAGAAATCTGCGCGGAGCTCCAAGCGTTAGGTCGGGCGTCCCCCTACAGGCGGACTTTGGACGAAAACTTAAAAAGACTATCAAAAGACCCCCAACAGAAATCGAAAATGGCAAAACAAAATCCTCCCCTGACTATTTTTTAACTTTTTGGGGATTTTCCTCCTGTAGAGGCACCGGCCCGACTTAATCCAAACGCCTATGTGTATGAATTGTGTGACCCGCCTCTATGGCACGGCGCCGGGGGGGGCCCATCAGCGTGCTGGCGTGGAAGGAGAGAAGCACCAGGCCTTCGGGCAATCACGACGGAGTAACACGCTTACGGGCTCCCGACAGCGTCGCGCCATGGATACCCACGCATCCTCCGAGATGAGGTTCACCTGAAGATCCGACGTAGCGAAAGGAGGAGGAGGAGGAGGAGGAGAAGGAGAAACAAATGCAGCATCGCGAACAAGAGCCCGGAGCCCGGCGCAAACGCCCAAGAACAATTGCAACGCCCGCATCACAGGGGAAGCCTCCGCCCCAGAGCCTCCGACCGTCCCTCCGGGGACGCCTGCGCCCCCGGGGGAACAAGCAAAAACCAGAGGACAACCAAGGCAGACAACTGAGAAAAAGCCTGGATGAGGGGGCCCTGGGACACACAACTGAATAGACACCAAGAACAGGATCCCCCAGATCTTCCCATATTTTCTGGGATTTTGTCTTCCCCCCACTTCCCATAGTTTCCCATATTTTCCTGGGAACCGACGATGAATCGTGTCTGTGTGTGCGTGCGTGCGTGCGTGCGTGCGTGCGTGCGTGCGTATGTGTACGTGTGAGTGTGTTTGTTTCCCCTCCTGACTGGAGGCAGAACAGCCCAAAGGCAATCACCGCGACTGGAAAAACAAACAATACCGTCGGAGGTCCGAGCAGCACACTCTCCGCCCCCTTCCGAAAAGAAGGCCGCCGCGGGCCTCGCCGATGGCCACCCCGTCCCGCCATTCCCCCCGGCGTCGTGCCTTAGGGAACACAAGGATGGACTAGCTAGTATTAGGTCGAGCATGTCCCCCTACAGGGGGAGTTTGGAAGACAAATGCAAAAATACTCAAACAATACCCCCCAATGGTCAAAAATAGTCAAAAAACGCCCCCTGACTATAATTTTACTAGTTCTTGATACTCCCCCTGTAGAGGGGCAGGCCCGACTTAAGACTAGTGCTGTGCGTCCTCCTCGAAACCGTGCGTCCCACCCGAACACTTGGGAACCGCGACAAGTCTCTAGAGCCCCCCTCCCCCCATGGGGAGGACTAATCATCCGTTCGGCGGCCTTCTCTGAAAGACTGGGGTCCCACCAATGAGGGGTAACTATTGTTGTTGTCCGTGGCACCCGCCGCGCAACAACGACGACGACGACGACGACGACGAGAGCTACGACGAGGACGGAGGAGGATTAGGTTATAGCACCAGGCCTATCATCGCCGAAAGACAAGGGGGGAACCCAAGCTAAAGACCTTTGACGGTTGGTAGTAGGTCGGGCGTGTTCCCCTACAGGCGAATGTTGGACAAACATTGCAAAACAAATCAAAACATACCCAGGAATGGCAAAAAGTAGTCGAACAATCGTCCCTGAATTATGTTTGACTGTTTTTGAATATTCCTCCTGTAGAGGGACGTGCCTGACTTAGCTGAGTACAACGATCTTGTAGTAGACCGTTTCCCGAGCTGTATGGTCAAAGAGCAACCGCCACAGAGCTCACGCTGTAAGATCCCTTGGCGCGCGCGTCGCCCCTGAGGGGGGGCGCACACATAGTCGAAGTTTTTGGGGTGATGCCAACGACTTGTTCATGACGCAAGTGCCCAAGAGTTGGGCGCCCGAGTTATCCAGGGTAACTCGGGTCCAGGGTAACTCGGGCTTGGATTCCCGAACAAAAAAGACCCCGAATGAGCCCTAACCCTAAATACCCCCTGATGATTTAGGGATCCGGACGCCCGAATTATCCAGGGTAACTCGGAACCGGGGTAAGCTGGGTTCGGATTCCCGAGAAACGAATCCGAGTTAGCCTTGACCCGAATGGCCCCTGATGACTCGGGGCTCTGAAGGAGGTCTGGACCCCTTACCGGGAGTCGCCCCGAGCCGTTTTTGTTGACGGTCCCAGGGTCGGGCAAGGGCCCCCAGACGCCAGAACCGGGCAAACCCTTCCGTCGTGATTCTCTGGCGGCCGATCTGGACGATTCGTGCACCCCCGGAACCCTCCCGACGAGGCGCAGCTGCGAGGCGTCCCGAGGCGATAAAGCTCTACTTGTTTCACGTCGCGATGCTGTCAGGGTCGTCGACTCTTTCGTCATCGCTGTCGTTCTCGTCGTCCTCGTCGCCGCCGTCGTCGTCGCCGTCGTCTGCTAGAGCTCCCCTGGGGCCAGCTTTTCCTCCCCAAGAGTTTTTGAGGGGGCCTAACTTTGCACTTCGCGCTGTGCGGAGCGCGAATAGTTCGCTCCCTCGCGCCGCCCCCCCAGAGGAGAAGAGGAGGATGAGGAGGAATCGGAGCCGCACCGCGAAGCGCGAAGAACTTCGCGCCCTCGAGGGCACCCCCGGTTTCTGACGGTGTCCCAGGGCCCCGCGAGGGCCGCAAAGGATGCCAACAGTGAAACGCCAGTCCCTCGCGTTTGGGTTTGCACGCGGGGGCCGCCGAGGGCCACCGAGGAGGGCCGCCGCCGAGGTGGCCGCCGCCGAGGGCCGCTTCCGAGGGCCTCCGAGGGCAGCGGAGGGCCGCCGAGGGCAGCCGAGGGCCGCCGCCGAGGCGGAGGCGGAGGAGGAGGAGGGAGGAGGGGAGGAGGAGGAGGGGGAGGAGGAGGAGAGGAGGAGGAGGAGGGGGAGGGGGTGGAGGGGAGAAGGAGGAGGAGGAGGGGGAGGAGGGGAGGAGGGGGAGGAGAGGAGGGGGGACGAGGAGGAGGGGGAGGAGGAGGGGGAGGGAGGACGGGGGGAGGAGGAGGAGGGGAGAGGAGGAGGAGGAGGAGGAGAAGGAGGAGGAGGGTGCGGAGAAGGAGGAGGGGAGGGGGGGTGGGGGGGAGGAGGGCCTCCGAGGGCCGCTGCCGAGGCCCCCCCCCCGGCGTCGAGCGCAGCGCAGGCGCGCTCCGCCTGCCGCCGCCGGCCCCGATGTGCCCGCGCAGGCTGCTCAGGATGGAAGCGCCTGCGGGGCGCGCGGGGGCCCTGGCTCGGGGCGAGGGGAGCTCCTCGCCCTCCTCCTCGTCCTTCTCCTCCTCCTCCTCCTCCTCTCCTCCTCCTCCTCCTCCTCCTCTGTCCCTCGCCTTCTTCTCCTCGCACCTCCTCTCCTCGTCTCCTCCTCCTCCTCCTCCTCCTCTCCTCCTCCTCGTCCTTCGCTTCGCCCTCCTCCTCGTCTCCTCCTCCTTTCCTCCTCCTCTCCTCCTCGTCCTTCGCCTTCTCATCCTTTCGCCCTCCCTCTCCGTCCTTCTCTCCTCCTCTCCTCCTCCTTCTCCTCTCCTCCCTCCTCCTCCTTTCCTCCTCGTCCTTCGCCTTCTCCTCCTCCTCCTCGCCCTACTCCTCGTCCTTCTTCCTCTCCTCCACTCCTCCTCCTCCTCTCTCCTACCTCCTCATCGTCCTTCGCCCTTCTCCTCATCCTCCCCTCCTCCTCGTCTTCGCTCTCTCCTCCTCCTTCGTGCCTAATCCTCTCTCCTCCTCTCCTCCTCCTCCTCCTCCTCCTCCTCCTCCTCGCCCCTTCGCCTTCTCCTCATCCTCGCCCTCCTCTCGTCCTTCTCCTCCTCCTCCTCCTGCCGCCTCCTCCTGCCTCCTCCTCCTCCTCGTTCCTTGCCCTTCTCTCCTCAGTGCCCTCCTCCTCTCGTCCTTCTCCTCATCCTTCCTCCTCCTCCTCCTCCTCCTCCTCCACTCTGTCCATTCTCTCTCCCTTCCCTTCCTCCTCCTCCTCTCCTCGTCTCCTCCTCTCCGTCCTCCTCGTCCTCCTCGTCCTCTCGTCCTCCTCGTCCTCCTCGTCCTCCTGTCCTCCTCGTCCTCGTACCTCCCTCATTTTCCTCTCCTCTTCCAGCTCCTCCCCTCTCTTCCTCTTCCTCCTCCTCCTCCTCCTCCTCTCCTCCTGTCCCCTCTCCTCCTCCTTGCCCTCCTCCTCCTCCCCTTCCTCCTTCTCCTCCTCCTCCTGCCTTTCGACCTCCACCCTTCACCCCCTTCCGCCCTGAGTTCCGTCTCCCCTCTCGGGGCGGGGGGGGGGGCTTGGCCCTGACTTCCGTCTTCCCTTTTTACGCCACGAAAATATCAGCACAGGCGCCCTCCGACGAACATTGGATTTACCTTCAGGAAGGGCGGCGTTGTATCAAATCGCTTGCTCGCAGGGGTGATTTGTACACCGCGACCATCCCCTGAGGCCCAGGAGCAATCCACTAGAAGGTGTCTGTGTTTCTCTTGTGGCGGACCTTTCGGCCTCCACCCGGGCCATCGAGAGTAGTCAAGGATGGACCAAAGAGGTACGGATGCAAGGGTACCCTTGGCAGGGTTACCCATCCCTACCATAGGGTTCGACTGTACGATATCCAGCCTGCAGATTCCGACCTTCCACTCCCACCCCCACCCCTCAGGCTCCAGATTGCATCATATCAGCACTCTGGCCTCCAGCCTCCAGCATCCGACTGTCCACACACCACGTCCACATCGACGAGAGGGGCGGGTTGGGTGAAGTACGGGAACGGCGCCCATGCAACGCATCATGTCTGGGCTCCCTGCACGCCACGCTTCAGCAAGGTGCGGTGCCTCGTTGCTGCGGTTCTGGGGGCACACCAGCTGTGCTCCGTACCATTCCTGGGTCGAGGATCGACGACGCCTCAGGAGACGCCAACTTGGTACGGTGCGTACAGGTCGGCCGCGGAGAACCAGTAAAAGGGGGACGTGGGTGTTTTTGAGTTACCTGCATTAAAACATGCATGTCTGAGGCCGCTGACCGTGTCAGCGCAGTATCTTGTGAACTGCGTCGTTTGCCCGTTCGGCCAGAACGCTGGGCCCCACAAAATGATAGCGGCAGAAACGCAAAACCGTTAAATTCGACAGTGCCCCTCTGGCGTGCCGAAGGTACTTTCAAAGTAACTTGCCCGCCATGTTGGCAAAAAGGGGGGGTGGTGAATCGGCTCACGCCGCTGTTTCCCTGCACCTCCCAGAGCTGGGAGGCGCTGGTGTATCGCGAAATGCGACTGGCGATTGAGCCGAAACCAGCTGCACGCAGCAGATGTCGTACCCGCCCCCTTCCCTTTCCTCCCCCTTCGTCCGACCCGACTTCGGTGGCAACTCATGGGAGCCTCCCATACCGTCTTCTCGGCTCCTGCGAATCGACGCTAGTCGACCCTAAATCGACGCTAATCCACGCCAGCCGACGCTAAATCGGCGCTGTCACATCGACCCCCAAACGCTGATCGACGCCAATCGACGCTAGATATGGAATTAAGGGGGTACACCAGGCTCCCATGACTTGCGGCCGAACCCGACCAGACAAGCGGGGTGGGGTCCAAAAGCAGCAATAAATTCCTGAAAACCCCGTTCTTGACACCAGCTTTTCAAACGCGTGCCCTCCGGGGAAACGTGGCTACTAGGAGTCAACCAGTGAGTATGGTGGACATTCATACCGCCTGTCACGACACAGTCGGACTCGATTGGACAGGACACGCGAGAGGACAAAAGATCCTTCAGGGGGCCACGTGGCCACAGGAATGCAGGAAGCACGGGTCGCGAGACGCAGGACACACGGGTACCCTTGATTTGGCAGGGTCGACCTGCTGACCTGGGCTGACTGCAGTGCCTACACACTGACCTGCTAAAGAGCTCCATTCAGCACCGACACGCAGCGAGACGAGCCATCGGCAAGCAATGCCCGCGTGCCCGCGAGGGGGCGGCCACGCAGGGCCTGAGCGGGGTGGGGCGTGGCAGGCGCTCGCGCAGCGAAGGAAACCTTGCCTGGCATCAGCGGGAAGCGCGTACAGTAGGGGCCCGACCACAAGAGACCTTCCACGAGAAACCCAGCCCTGAGACCCCAGGACGTCCATTGGTTCTTGGTGTGGGAACGCTGCGCTCTCCATAGCAAAACCATCGAAACCCAAGAAACCCAGGGAACCCTGGAGGCAAGCAGAGTGTTTCTCGGCATGGGCCTCCACTGTACACGCGATGAGCCGCGCGAGAACGTGCAGCATCATCACGATCATAATATAGCGGAGGCGAGCTCTCCGAACGCCCACAAGGGATATCTATATGCACGCGCTGCCCGAACATTCAAGAATATGCTTCTAAGTACCCTCTCGCGTCTATGTAAACATCCAGCTTCCTCCGTTTTCGCCTCACTCTCATCATCATTCGTGCCATCAGAATCGTCATCATCATGAGAAACATCACAACATCATCGCCATCATCACAAGCAGCGTCATACTCACAAGCAAGACCATCATCAGCACCATCAGCACCAGCGATCTCAGATTCACAATCGTCATAATCATCATCATACTCAGCAGCATCAACATCGTCTTCGCATCATCAACGGTATCAATGTCATCATCATCCGCCTCCTCATCATCAACAACATCACCATCGACATCACCATTACCGTCACCATCCCCATCATCATCAGCGCCATCATGAACAACATCAACAGCGTCATCATCATCATCATCATCATCAGCAGCATCAGCATCATCATTTTGATCATCATCATCAGCATCATCATCATCATCATCATCATCAGCATCAGCATCATCATCCTCAGCATCATCATCATCATCGTGAGCAACCTCGTCTCCAGCATCACAACCACCATCATCACCAGCATCATCAGCATCATCAGCATTATCATCTCCCCATTCTCATCACCAGCACCATCGTCATCATCATCATCTTCATCATCATAATCATCATCATCATCATCATCAACATCATCATCAGCATCATCATCATCGTCGTCAGTGACATCACCATGGTCGCCATCATCAGCATCATCATCATCAGCATCCGCATCTTCATAATCAATAGCATCAGCATCATCAGCATCATCAGCATCAACATAAGAAACATCGGCATCATCGTCATAATCATAGCCATCAGCACCACCATAACCATCAACCTAACCATCACCATCAACATCACCAACATCATCAACATCAGCATTACCATCATCCGCAGTGTGAGCATTGTCATCACCAGCATCCCCATCATGATCTGATGGTTTCGAAACCAAGTCCGAAGACATGTGTCTGGAAATGTATCGAACGAAACGCTTATGCGTAAACAAACGTGATAAATACCCACGTGTTGCTCAATCATTTCGCGTCTTGGGCCATCTTCGAGGTCATCCAAGAACGCTCCAAGCAGGTGTCTCAAAACAGCGTTTTGTGCACCCCAGTTGTTCGAGGATGTCTCGGGCGAAGCGCTCACGTTTGAAGTATCGAAGATACTTGACTACCTACCAGACAACCCCAGTCCAATCCGAAGGCCCAAATTTCGGGTTGGAGGGATACGCGATACATATGATGATGAGGGTGATGATGGTGATGATGGTGATGATGATGATGATGGTGATGGTCAGGATGATGACGATGATAATGAGAATGATGATGGTTATGATGATGAAGATTATGATGCGTATGATGACAGTAAAGATGATGAGGATGAGGGACGATGGTGGCGGTGCTCGTGTTGACGTGGGTGATGATGAAATTGTTGTTGTTGATGATGATGATGCTACTAATGTTGATGGGGAGGAGCATGATTAGGTGGAGGAGGGAGTAAGATCTTGATGATGAGGGGTACGACGATGTCGACGGATAACGGGGGCAGGAGGAAGAGAATGGGAAGGAGGAAAGTTTACAATACGAAACACAATCGCAACCGATCGCCCAACCAATCCAGCCGGCTGCATTATGTATCCCCACTCTCTTCCCGCGTCTCCCCGTTCACGCACTCTCATCAATTCTCTTTCCCACTTCGTCGCTCGTCTGTCCTTCATTCTCCCGCGCTTTCTGATCCCGTGTTTCCCCTTTCCCCTTCCATTTCTCCTTGCTTTCATCGCTCCTCCATCCATCACCGCCATCATCATCATCATCATCATCATCATCATCATCATCATCATCATCATCATCATCATCATCATCATCATCATCATCATCAACATACTCACCGTAAACCTCTTCGACTGACCAACAATACTCTTCATGGTCCTCGATGTATTCCTCCACATGGGCCTCTTCATCATGGTAATCACCGTCATCATCATCATCATCGTCATCATCATCATTAACATAAGTGTAACCACAATCCGAGTAGTCCCATGATCATCGCCATACCAACCATCAACACATTCATCATCATCATCATCATCATCATCATCATCATCATCATCATCATCACCATCACCATCACTATCACCATCACCATCACCATCATCGTCATCATCATCATCATCATCCACATGCTCCCCTTCATCACCATCACCATCATATCCACCTCACTCCCCCCAGTCCCCTTCCGCCTGCTTCTCCTGGTCTGTATGCACATCCTCATCATAATGCGACTCCTCCTTGCCTGAGTGGACCTGAACAACCCACAAAAAATGATGATAAAAATGAGATGAAGTGAGGAACCTGCGAATGATAAAACGGAACGGGACATGATGAAGAGGAACAATCTGCAGAGAAACAGATCATCTGTGAGGAATGGATTCAGGCATAGATGCCTGAATCAATTCCTATATCACCCCCTCATTCTCACGATCATCATCGTCATAATCATCATCACCACCACGCTTGTTCTGATTATCTGCCGCATGCTGCTCCTCACCACACCCGTGCTCCTCATCGGCAGATATACCATTATCATATGTAACTCCTCCTTGCCTGGGTAAAAATCAGCAGCCCCAAGAGAGTGATGATGAGAACGAGATGAGGCAGAGAGCAGGATAATGATACAATGGAACGAGATACGATGAGGAGCAGCAGGATGCAGAGAAACGAGACATCTGTGAAGAACGGCTTTCTGCACAGATGCCCAAACATCTGTTCCTGCCGCTCAGGTAATAGGGAGTTGCATCCAGGTAGCAACTGTTGGATTGCGTTCCTGCTGTTCTGGGGGCGCATGGATTTCCTATTGGTCTTCATGTATGGCTTCCCTTTAGCTTCCGATTGCAAGGGTCGTTAAAGCTAAAGCTCCCCTTTGTCAGAGCGAGGCCGTTGGAGGGATCGGAACGGATTTAGGTGTATGTACATATACATATATATATATACATACATACATACATACAGATAGACAGACAGACAGACAGACATACATAACTATATATATGTGTATGTATGCCGGATTTCGTTCCTCACTGATGTCCTGTCTCTCTGTATCCTGTTCCGCCTCATCGTGTCTGTTTCTGTTGGAGCATCATCCTGCCTGTTGCCCTTCCCACTCTCATCATCACCGTCGTATGGCTGTTGATGCATTCCCAGGCAAAGAGGAATCGCAGTCTGATGATGGTGATCATGATTATGCCGATGAGGAGGACGGGACTGATGAGGAGCAGCAGGTGGCAGATTACTAGGCGGAGCATAGTGACGATAGACATTCTGACAAGGATGGTGTTGATGATGAAGGTGCGCACGTGGATGATGATAATGGTAATCATGGTGGCGCGCGCTACAACCGCGCACGCGAGCAAGCTCACTTCATGATGTGCCGCGCGACAACGGCATCCCCGCGCGCGAAAATAGCGCACGCCACATAATCTGAAAATCTCACCCGACGGGGGGAACTGCAATGTAACTGGGCTTGCCTGGGTCCGAGGTAGTTGGCGGCGCGCACAAAAGGGGTAAGGGGGAGGGGGGGAGGCTTCGTAGAGGAAGCTGCTTCTCAGAAGGCGCCGGGTCTCACATCTGCTGACAAGGCCTGCGGCTTCAGAGGAGCAGGGGTGCTTCTAAGAAGCCTCTCCCCCTCCCACGACCACGACCCCCCCCCTGCGCGTGGCTGATGGGGAAGCCGACAAGCACCGATACCGCTGCCCCCAGGACCTCTCACAGGGTGCGCTCTGGCCAGGTTCTCGAGGCGAGTCCGGCGGTGGCAGCGAAAGGGGGGAAGCGAGGAAGGGGCAGAGGTCTGGGCACCTGAGACCGAGCTTGCCTGGAGATTTTTTGTTTTGAATCGGCGATAACCCGGACTATCCGGGGGGGAAGGAGAGGGCCGGCCGATAACCTAACCTTCACGCTGTGGGCAGCCCTGCATATGCCCGCGCCCCCCCACCCCGGACCTGCACAACCGGCAAGGTTAGGCTATCCTGGGGGGGGGAGGGGGGCAAGCCCGATGACCAGGGTGATCGCCGGACCCTAAACAAAAACAGTCTCCCCCGAGATCCGATGTCGAGATGTCTTCCATGCGGGGTCCCTGGAGGTCCCGACCCCCTTCCTGGGACCGGCTTTTCGCCCTGGGTCGTTTTCTGACGGTCCTGGGGCCCGGCGAGGGCTCCTGGAGGCCGAAAAAAACAAAAAAAACCTTCGGCTTGATTTGTTCAAGACGTTGGATCTCTGGGCCCTGGGCACCCGAGACTTGGCTACATGCAAGAGTGACCCTGGATAATAGTGACCTTTGGTGCGCGGCTTTTTGGGCGCCGCGGGGAGACCAAGCACAACCGCGGAAGACACTAATTACCATCGCATCGCGTTCCGCGATCGGGGGGACCACGATGAGCCCGCACCAGAGGTCACTCCGGCGAAGGGTCACTCTTACGTCTAGTCGAGAGACCGAGCTTGCCTGGTGCTGCAGCAGAGCGGCCCCCAGGGGTGGCGCGCCGGGCGGGCCGCCCGGGGAGCGGGCGGGCGGCGCCGTGCACGGGGCGGATGCCGCCGTTGCGCCGCTCCCGCGCCGCCTGGCCTGGGCGGGGTCTCGTCAGCGCGCGGGGCGAGTAAAACGACGCGAAGATCGGGACAAAATCGGATCGGGATGACTCGAAATCTCTGAGAATCGGCGGGTTTGGAGGATGTATTGGGCGCCGCGGCCGCTCCAGAGCGCTCCGGAGCGCTCTGGAGCGATTTATCCGATCCTAGCCCTGTTTTACGGAGCGCAGCAGGCGAGTGAGGCCCCGAGGAGCGCGGTCTCCGGGCTCGAGCTCGGCGGTGCGCACAGGGGGGCGGAGGGAGGGGCGAGGGCTCCGTAGGAGGAGGCTGCTTCTGAGAAGGCGCCGGCCCTCACGTCTACAGACCTTCCGAGGAGCAGGGGTGCTTCTAGGAAGCCCTCCCCCCTCCCCCCGCCCCCCTTCTGCGCGTGGCTGACGAGCAGTGGCCGAGCGTCCCAGCACTCCTATACAGCAGGAGCTCGACCACAAGAGGCCTCCCCCACGGAACCCAAGCCTGAGGCCCGAGGGCGTCCATGGCTTTTTGGTGTGGACAAACGCCCGCGGCAAAAACTCCAGAAACTCAAGGCGCCCTGGAGGCAAGCAGGGTGTTCCCTGGCTTGGCATGGGTTTCCACTGTAGGCCTACCGCACCATGTTCTTAGAATCAGAGGGTGCTCGAATCATACACACATTTTTTTGAACATGCAGCCGCTTGATGAACACAAGACTGTCTCAGCTAGACATAACCTAAAAACACTTCGTGCAAACCACAAGAGATAATCACAACATTCCTTGGCGGGGTCATAGGCAAATCAGGACGCTCCGCCACTGCTTGATGAACACGACCCTCCAGAGGTCTGTGATCCGGGCGATGCACTCTCTGTTCACGCCGAATGTCTTCGCCCCGTTTCGGGCCTGGGGGGCATCACATACCAACCTAGGTCGACGAACGCCGCCGAAAGATGGGGTCGATGGGGCGTCGGTCGTGAATGGTTCGGGGGCGCGACGACATGGATTAGCGATCCAGAACTTCGGCGCGCGGTCGCCAAATCCATGGTTATTGGAGGATGAGTCTCTCTGGAGATACGAGTACCTTCAGCGTCAAGACGTCCACTCGGAGGGAGGAGGAGGACGAGGAGGTGGGAGGATGGAGGAGGAATGGAGATGGAGGAGTGGGAGGAGGGTGAGGGGGTGGGAGGGAGGACGTTGTCGCCCCGTTCGGCGGCGGAAATCCGCGCCGCGATACATCCATGTTTGCGATCGCCCGCATGGGTTTTTTTCGCGATGCTGCACTCCGTCGCAGCGTCGCACCTCCGCGGCCGGGCACGGGCCCCCTCGGGGCGCCGGGGCGAGAGCTTGGCGGAAGCCCCCCGTCGCTGGACATCGTCGAGTCGATCCCTATCCCCACGGGCGGTGCCTTGGCCCAACTGACCGACTTAACCGTGCAGTTGGGGGTGCTAGGTTTAGGTCGGCCGTGTCTCCCTACAAGCGGATGGTGGGCGAAACATTCATTCCTCTAAGATCTAAGCGCACGCCCAGAACCTCTCAGAGAGCCAACCCACAACCAGGCCGACGGAGACAGCCGAAAGGCTATATAAAACAAGGTTGGCCTCAGCATTGCACTCATTTTCACGATGGTCATCTGAACAACCGCACTGTTCCGTCCAAAGAGCTCCTGTCACGCATGAATTGGTACTCTTTGCCACCGAGCTCGGCACTCCCCTCTTTATACAGGGTGGTACGCGGGCGGGTGACTTGAGCACAGACAGCAACGGGCGAGCCGAACGATAGCAGAGGAAAAAACAATAATATTTCACATTCCTCTAAGATCTAAGCGCACGCCCAGAACCTCTCAGAGAGCCAACCCACAACCAGGCCGACGGAGACAGCCGAAAGGCTATATAAAACAAGGTTGGCCTCAGCATTGCACTCATTTTCACGATGGTCATCTGAACAACCGCACTGTTCCGTCCAAAGAGCTCCTGTCACGCATGAATTGGTACTCTTTGCCACCGAGCTCGGCACTCCCATACAGTCGCCCATATGGGTACTCTGGGTCAAGGACACGATGAAAGGGTGGTACGCGGGCGGGTAGAACCAAAGGAGGAAGGCCCACAAGACGACATCACTTCAGCGCTTCCTCAGGTAGCTCAACAACTTGTCTGGGAACGACTGGGCTGAACGGTTCATCCTCGAGATCTGGACGCGGTCGAGCTTGTTGTACTGCTTCAACAGTTTGGCATGGCGCTCGTACCTGGTCACACTCTTCTTGGCCGCCCAACGGCCGCGCCGACGCACCTGCTCAAGGTTCCGATGCTTGTGATAGATGTCGTGAGACGGGGCGGTGTGCCTGACGGTGTGAGGCGTCACGTTCAGCTTAGTGTAGTTGAGGGCCTTCGACGCTGCCTTGAAGTCGTGCTCGTATTTTGCCAAGGTCAAGCTGCGAAAAAGAGGAGCACGAGGATCTGCTGGCATGCTGCGGCCGCCGGAAGTCTGCGTCACGCGCTGAACCAGCGCGGCAGCCACCTTCGGAGCCCACGGCCGCGAAGGACTGCCCAACACCACGGAGTCGTCGACCTGGCCAGTCTTAGTGACGAAGCCGAGCTCCGCGGGGGCGAAGACGACGCCCCAGTCCCGCGAAGCCGTGCCGCGGACACCTGGGACAGGCGGCAGCATGTTGCCTACCACCAGCTCGACGCTCTCGGACGGGCGCCCGTAGTCGTCCAGCTGAAGGGCCAAGCACGCCGCGCTCTCACCGCGGCCGTTGTCCAGCATCCACGCGCCCATGTCCAGCAGCACCTCCTGGGGCGCAGGGTCCTTCACCACCTCGCGGGACCGCTTGGCCCAGCCGGCGATCGCTCTCTCGACGTCGCTGAGGCGCTCCCGCTCCTGCTTGTAGTTGTTGGACTTCAGCAACAAGTAACCGAAGAAGACGGCGCGGCCGACGCTCGGCCCATAGCCCTCCTGGAACTTGCTGAAGAAATACTCCTTCATCGTCGTCGCCAGCGAGAGGGATCCGACGGGACGGCTCTGCTGCTCGGCCCAGTCGTAGAACTTCTCCAGCTCGCGGCGGTAGATGTCCTTCGCCTTATCGCCAGCCGTGCTCTCCTGGAGGAAGCGATCGGGAGGCGCAGCAGCTCTAGCGGCCACCGCCTGCCTCCTCAGTGCCTTCTGCCTCCGCGGCCCAGAGCGGGCGGTGGCGGCCAAACCGTAGCCTGTGGTCGCGGATGTAGTCCGTCGCTCGAGCGGGGACTTCAGAATCGCTCCCTTCACCACTCCGCGGAGGCGCTCCCTGGACGGCTGGATACCGTCGCCGTCCGACAAGCGAGGCAAGATCTTCATCCCACTGGTTGACAAAACTTGGCTGTGAGCCGCACGCAGCGGCTGGTGCAATCTGAAAAATGAGAGAAGCCCATCTCGAGCACAATGATGACGGATAGGCTCCCGCTGTCTTTGTTTTACACTGTGACCGCCAGACTCCATCTGCTCCCAAGACTCGCTCCTGCCCTTCAAGGACGCGATGCACATGACCCCCAGAACACTTAGCTCCAAGCCCACGCAGGGCCTGGACGTTGGTGAGCACTGTGGTGGGCTTCTTGTGCAGGACCTCATACTGGCACATGTGGAAGGAGACCTTGAAGACCTTGGGGAGCCCCATGAGGTCCACGACAGGCTTGAACTCCCAGAGACCTGACGACGAGGGGTTCTCCAGGCTCCAGAGGACCCCACATCTAGAGGCCAAGACGCAGACCTCCACGGTGAAGAGAGCCAGCTCCACCGCCACCGCCTCCTTAGCGTAAGCCTTCCCAAGATTAGACACCCCCCGCCTCGCCACTGACCAGACCGTACATGGGGTACCCAAGTGGATGTACCATATGAGGCCCGAGAGGATCCAGGACTTGATGAGGTTCTGAGTGCTTTTCCTGGTGAGGTCGAACCTCGCACCACGCTCCAGTTCGAACGGCGGCCCGACCCGCAGCCCGCGGGATCGGAGAGCACAAGTGAGGCCCGCTTCGCCGGCAAAGAGCTCGAGAGCCACGGTCTCCTGCACTGGAAAAGGCGCTCGGAGGTGTCGTCCACCGCCGAGCCGAGGGACCGAAGATGAGGCCGGGGGAGTGTCGGATCGCATGGTACATGATGTGGTATCTTCTGGAACTCCGACTGGGCCGACTGTCGACCCTCCCCCAGTCTCGTGCAGGCGCGAGCCGGCATCGGCGACATTGCGCTTGCTCTCGACGTGCCGTGAGTGCCAGCGGATCCGAGCAGCAATCTGGTAACTAGCCGCCCGCCTCGCCAGCGCATTGAGGGCCCACGACTTCGCGCGGCCCTTCTCGAAGGCACAGATTGAGACCAGGTTGTCCCCGATAGAGGCGACCCGCTTCCCGTGGTTGTGGCGGCTGCGAGTCGCTCGGCGAAGGCCGAAGAGGGACACGCGGCCTTCCTTGACATTGATGTGCTCCTCTGTCCAGCGCCAGCGCCCGACCCGAAGATGCCTCCACCTTCGGAGATCGTCCCAGCAGCGGTCGATCGGGGGCACGGCGCTCGGGACCTCGACCTCCTCCTGCCTGGGCCGCGGCCGCGGTTCCCGTGAGCGGCGCCCGACTCGAGGCCGGGAAAAAGGCCGCTCCTGGGAAGCTGCCTCCAGCGAGCGCCCAAACTGCGTCTGCGGGCCGATGGCACAGGGTCGAGACCCTCGCACAGCAACGTCAGCATAGGCACCCTCAGGAAACTCCCACGATCCTCCAGGCGCGAGGCGGCCCCCCGCGTACTCGACCCACTCTGGACGAAGCAGCCCGACCTCGGGCAGCGTGTCGACGAGCTTGAACCGCCATCTTTCACGATAGCGGGTGAGGTCACGAAGCTCCGAGCTCGTCGCAGTGGTCGACAGCAAGGCGTACCCAAAGCTCGAGGAGTCCGAGCAGTACACCTCGTGGCTGAAATCGGCCCCCAGGTCGTACTCGGACAGGAACAGCAACCCCTGCACGAGCCGCATCTCATTCTTGATGGCTGGCGTAAGGCGGACGCGCCTCCCGCGCGCCGCCGCGACAAAGGGGTAGACTGCCTGCAGGCACGCCAAAGCCGGCCGAGACAGACTGAACAGGTTGACGACGTGCCCCAGCCAGATCTCCATGACGTTGCCGTGGATCCAGCGGCGTCGCCGAAGGGCCCGAGTGGCCAGGTAGACGCGCCAAGCGCGTCGCGGCACGTGGCGCAGACACCTCCGCTTCCCGTCGAAGACCACCCCGAGGCTCTCGAAGACCACGGCGACCTCGGAGTCGACGTGGGTGCCGATGTGCGCCTCCTCCGCCGCGTGCCTGAACCTCTGGACCGAGTCGAGCGCGGTCTCGCGGTCGCCGGCGAGCGTGGTGAAGTTGTCCACGTACACGCCCGACACGGCCTGCCCCGCCCGCAGCACTGGGGCCGGCGTCCGCTCGCGTACCAGCGAGCGGGGGCACACCGCGCTCTTGGTGGCCAGGTGGGAGATGGCCTCGTTCGCGAAGTGCAGCGCCCACGCCCACCCCATGGCCATGCCGTGGAAGACAGGGTAGACCACCTCAGAAGGCCCGACCGCCACGCGTCGACCCAGGTCGTCGTCATAGACCTGGGTAACCCCCCAGGCACCCGCGGCCCGCGGGAGGTCGATCCCGAACCAGGACCCCAGCTCCTCGACCAGCATCTGGTAGAAGCAGTCGTCGACGTCGCTGGTGCCGCCCCAGATCTCCGAGATGCCGCCGAAGCCCCCGAGGTCCTGCAACGCGGTGTCCGAGAGGTCCAGCTCGCAGAAGCCGCCAACCGAACCCAACCGTGTCTTCGGCGGCGTCTTGTGGCAGCGGTTCGCCTGCCGGGCGTCAATGATGAGCCTGATCCACGCGGGGTCCTTCTTCTTGACGAAAAAGATGCCGACCTTCGCCTTGAGCTTCTTGCGGAAGCCGATGAGGTTGGCGTCCCTGAGGCGGCCCACGAGCTCGAAGAGGCTGTCGTGGTCCCGCGCCAGCTTCGGGTCCCAATACGGCCTGGGAAAGTCCACAGCCGCCCGAGCTTCCAGTATCTGCTCCGCATCACGCTCCACGCAATGCTTATAGTGCTTGATGAGGCCCGCCGTCTCGGGCGGCAGGAGCGTCTTTGCGTCCTTCGCCACGGTGCCCGAGCGGCAGATCTTGAGCTTCGAGATGTCGTACTCGGCGAGGTTCTTCGGCTCCTGCGAGTACAGGTCCCTGGACGCAAGGAGCTCCGCGAGGGCTCCGTCTTCGCCCAGGTCTCGAGGCGGCGGGCCGTACGCCTTGACGCGCCGAGCGACGTGCTGCAGGACGTCGCATTGCAAGGGCGTCCCCCGCCCACCTCCGAATCGCCGCGTACTTGAGACGCTCGAAAATGAAGTAGTTGCGGCAGCGAGCTGGTTGAGTGATCTAACCGCTTCACACTCTCGCTGATGCCGATGGAGCTGCTCACGCCGACGCTGCTGAACATATCGAGGAGCGCCAGGAGAAGCCAAGCTCGGAGCCGCCGGCGACGGAAGCGGAAAGATCTCCCCATGTCGCCTCTGGCTGCAGAGTCGCCGCCGAACGCCAGCGCCTCCACGGTCAAAACTGTCGGCGGGGACGGACATGCTGAAGAGCCGCCCCAGCCAGAAGGGAACTGACCACTGGGGTCAGTTCCCCGCCTGCTTGTCGTCCCCCTTCGGCCCCCCCTTCTTGGGAGGCTTCTTCGGGGGGGGATCGTCGCCACCTTTGCCACTCCTATGACGCTTGTCCTCGTTGAGCCGCTCCTCACGAAGAAGACGAGACTGCTGGAGGGTCTGCGCACGCTCTCCCTGCTTCTTGTAGATCCAGCCGCGGAAGCCCGCGCTGGCCGCCGCACCGCTCTCCGTAGTCGGGCCGCCCATGACCAGGTCCAGGCCGGCGTAGTCGGGGTGCTTCGCGTTCCTCTCGACCGCCATCTCAATTTGGATCTGCCTGCGCACCAACTGCTCGAAGCACGCCAGGTTGGGCACGTTGAGCTGGTCCACCTGGTGGGCCAGCCGCAGGACCTCGGTGTTGTTGCGGTGCTCGTGGAGCGCCGCCGTACCGTCGCCAACACCACTGTCCTGCCTCCACTCGCTCTCGTACACCACCATCGAGCCGGGCCCGTCCCGCATCGACTCCAGGTACTCCTTGGCGGCCCTAGGCGGGGGGAAAGGCCAGTCGTCGAACGTCTCCTCCGTGAAGAGGTCGACCGCATCCGAGAGGGCCAAGTTCCGCTTCCCCCTCTTGCGATGCAAGCCGAGGATCCTCGAGTCGCCTTCCGAAGACTCTCGCTTCTCCTTCCAGTCGTCGACCTTGTCGTCCCTGACTCGCTCCACGAATCGCTTGGCGCCGAGCCAGTCCACGACACCGAGGTTCCCGAGATGGACGAACCTCTGTCCGTCCGCCAGCACCTCCTCGGGCACCTCCTTGCCGAAGTGCTCATCGTCGACCTGGTACACGACCCACTTGTGGACCTCGACGTCGTCGAACTCGCCGTCCCCCAAGATCGCTGCCTGCACCTTCGCCTGGCTCCTGAACTCCTCCATCTGGGCGGCCGAGACCGCGTCGTCGTCGAACACGTACGAAGCGGCCGCGACGTTGGCCGGGAAGGCTGCCCTCCTCGAGAGCACCTTGTGTCTCTGATCATTGAGATCGTGGATCTGCAGCTGCAAGTCGGGTGTGAGGCACACCCACCGTCCGCCGCTAATACGATGCAGCAGGACACGATGATGCCACACCAGCCCATTCGGGTCATCAGGATAATGAACCAGAACCTGCGCACACCGTGTGTCAAGCGTGGGCATCCCTCAGCTGCGCCGGCGTGGTGGGCCCCGCACCGGCAGGCCGTCCCCCGGCTTCAAGAAAGCTGGGCCCCGCCGCCGCTGCCCCCGCCGCGCGCGGCCTCGCCGCCTCGGCAGGGCGCCGCCACGGGACGCCGACGAGCGCGCCCAGCAGGAAGCCCGTGAAGCCCCCGACCACGGCGCTCGCGAGCGCGATGCCCGCGCCCGCCCAGAGGAGCGGCCCCAGCCCGCCCAGGCCGGCCGGCTCTGGGCACGAGCAGTCCCCGCACTGCAAGCCGGGGCACGCCGGCAGCGCCACGTGCGGGCACTCCAGCGAGGGGCACGCAGGGCACGCGCTCGCCGCCAGGGCCGTCCGCAGGTGGAACACCGCAGGCAGCAGATCGCGGGCGACGCCTGAGAGTTCGGCCCAGGTGAGCATGAACCCCTGTTGTGACTTGAGCACAGACAGCAACGGGCGAGCCGAACGATAGCAGAGGAAAAAACAATAATATTTCACAAAGAACATACTCCGAAACATGCTCCGCAATGGTCAAACGATGGTCAAAAAATAGTCACCAGACTATTTGTTGGCTATTTTTGAATATTACACCTGTAGAGGGACGAGCCCGACTTATTGCTAGGTGGCGGCATCCGAACCCTACCCCCCCAAACCATCAGTCCTCCTCAGCCGACGGGAGGCAAACGCAGGGTTCGGGTTGCGCCGCGTGTTCGACGAACTCCGAGATCCACGCCCGCTGCCAATCGAGCTCCCTGCATCGTTGATCGTCCAGGGTAGGGCTCGGTTTCCGCCGCCGAGATGTATGCCGCGGGGCCCACATTAGGGGAAATAAGAATGGCATAAACAAAAAAAAACTCGGAGGTCCGCGCGGATTTCGTGGATCCGCGCTGGGACCCCCTTGGCGGCGCCTGAGGCGCCGCCACTGGCGCGCTCCGCGCGCCGGGGAGGGGGGTCCAGCGCGGATGCGAGAAATCCGCGCGGACCTCCAAGTTTTTATGTTTGTGTCTTCCTTCGTTCCCCTACACATGGCCCTGCGGGATAGGCTGGACAGTGCCGAGTCCTGGACATCTTGGGGGCCCTCTTCCCGGGGCTCCCTGGGGCCTCCTCGTGGCCACCGCTGGGCACCGTGCGACGGCGCGCCCCGGCTGGCGTTCAGAGTGGGCCCAGGGACCGATCTCGAGCGACATCGGGGCCTCCCAGACAACTGCTCAGGATGATCGGCGCAGGTCTGTGATCCTCAGAGCGCACAAGCCGGGCGGGAGAAGCGTGTAGAGAGAGAGACAGAAAGTAGGAAGGTGGATCAACTAGATCTGGTCCAGACCCTCCCAGAGAACAATGCAACATAGCAAAAGCATGTCGATAATTCAAATAGGAAGGCACTTGAAGTGGATTGTGACCTGGGAATCCCAGAAAAGCTACTTGCAACGACCGACGTATATGTTGCGCCACCGTATGCTTGTCCAGCAAGGCCCTTCAATACGGCGCAGGCGGCGCAACAAGAGCCGACACGAGCTGCGCGCCATCGGCGAAACCGAACGAGGACACACGCTGGGGCGTCAAATGGTCCAAGATAGTCAGGCGCCGGCAGTGGCAGGCGGTGGGTTTGGCACTGGCAGCGAGCCGAGGCACGACGGCCAACCGGAACGTGGCGCGAGGGGCAACCGATATCGGGGATGGACAGACCCCCCTTTAGTAAAGCGTGGTTTAGTGAAAACGACCTGAGGCCCAAAGCTGGAGGGTGCGAGCCTGGCAAAAAAACGGCCACGGCGCCCTCCCGAGGACCGAAAACGGACAATTCACTAATCGACGTGTCACTGGTGGGGGTTCTGTCTAGGGCTCCCAACTTCGCGCTTCGCGCTGCGCGAAGCGCGAAGCGCGAATAACTTCGCGCTCTCGCGCCGCCCTCCCAAAGGGAGAATAGGAGGACGAGGAGGAGGAGGAGAAGGAACGAGGACCGCGAAGCGCGAATAACTTCGCGCCCTCGAGGGAGCCCTTGTTCTGTCCACCCCCGACGACAGGGGGGGGGGACTGGCACAGGGCGGGGCGCGTCGACCCGGCGTCGGCGAGAGATCGCCGACAGATCGGCGAGGGGCCCCCGGGAGGGAGTCCGCACGACCGTGGGCAGGCGGGGGGCCATCGGGCACCTGTCGGCGATCCGTGGGCGATCGGGGGTCGAGGCTTCCCCCCCTTATCTTTTTTGAAGGCGGAGCCCTGAGATTGTCAATCGCCTCTTGGCGTGTCAATCTTAGAGCTAGGGATACGCTCGAGGCTGGTAACCTATGCCCCTCCCCCCCAATATCGCTGCCTCCGGTGAAGGCCCAGGGCGCAGCGAGGTTGCCACGACGCCGAATGGGCCTGGCCTGCTCGGGCGCCAGCATGCCGCGCCCGCGAGGAGGAGGAGGACCAGTGAAAACCGAAGAGCCATCGACGATGTTAGAATATTATACCCTTCCTCCAAGCTCCCTGTTCACATACCCTCCCTCCAGCCTCCCCCGAGCCATGGACTTGGCGACCGCGCGCCAGATCCGTGGATCTTAACGGGCGAAGGACGGTATAAGATCAACTTTTTCGCTGTCGGGGGCGCCTGTCCCTGGGCGGCTGGAAAGTTTATACCCTTACGGTGGCACCGTAGGGGTATAAACTTTCCAGCCGCCCAGGGACAGGCGCCCCCGACAGCGAAAAAGTTGATCTTATACCGTCCTTCGCTCGCTGAGGATCGCGGATCCGTGCCTGCGCGCCACCGACACCTGGCCTCCCGCTGCCTCCCGCTGGCGGGGCCCCGAAAAGGAGAGAGCGCACGGGCCTGCGCGCTTGCGCCTGCGCAGCCCCTTCGGGTTGTCGCGGCCCCCCGCCCCGTCGCACAGGTCGTCGTCCTCGTCCTGGTGGGCGGGGTCCCCCTCGCCCACGTCAAGGAGGGAGGCGCAGCGGGAGGGGAGGCAGCGGGCGGAGGCGGAGGAGGGGGGATCAGGAGAGGGGGGAGGAGGGAGAGGGTGCGCAAGGATGGGCCGGAGGAGGGGAGAGAAGGTGTGGGAGGGTGGGCCAGGAAGAGGAGGAGAAGGCGGAGAAGGAGGCGGATGTGGAAGAGGAAGCGGAGAAGGAGATGGAGAACGAGGAGCTGGTGGGCAACAAAAAGGCTTTGCATGCACTTGCCTACCGCAAAGCGGCACAACGAGAGGGCCGCCCCTGCAGGTGGGAAAGCAGGGAAGGTTCCCACCTCCCCTCCCCCTTCCCCCCCCTCCCCTCCCCGCCCCCTTCTCCCTCGCGCACTCCCTCGCATCCCCCCAATCCTCGCCTCCACACGCTCTCCCCCCCCCAAGCTGCCTCCCTCCCTCGCCACTTGCCACCCTGCTGCCACCCTCTTGGTTCCACCCTCTCTCGCTCCCCTCCCCCTGCGCTCCAACTCTGCCTCGAGGTAGTGAGGGACAGAGACAGCGAGAGGGAGAGAGAGAGAGAGAGAGACATACAGAGAAAGAGAGAGAGAGAGAGACAGACAGAGAGAGAGAGAGAAACCCAGGGGCCCGATGTCATGAGTCTTTCCGCGCGGGGTCCCTGAAGACCCCCGGACCCTTTCCCCCAGTCGGCGGAAGGGGGAGGTGTGTCGGACCCCGTGCCTTCCAAGCACGGGTCAGCCAAAAAGGATTGGCTGACTCCACTAGCACTTACCCCCGTCACGCGAGCCCCGAGACTGGACCTAAGACGAAGCCAAGACACGGATAGATAACATCGGGTGAGG